CCTCTCACTTCTCAGCAAGAAGGTTCTGGGTTCCAATCCTAGTTGGAACAGGGTCTCTCCAGGTGGAGTTTACATGTTCTCCCCATGTCTGCGTAGGTTTCCTCCGGGTGCTCCGGTTTCCCCTACCACTAAAAACATGCACAAAAGTCGAGCACCAACATCTGCAGATGTTACTACGGCAACCACAGCCCCTGACCGACGCCCAGTGGCATCAGGGTCAAAGGCAGAGGGTCAAAGGCAGAGGGTCAAATGCAGAGGGTCAAAGGCAGAGGGTCAAATGCTCTGCGTGGTCTGTGTTTGTAATGGTTACATTCAATGTGTGTGAACGTTCTGATTCTCTGATCTGTGCTGAAGAATCCACAGTTTTGTAGTCCTCAGAGAAACGACTGCTGTGATTTAGAAACAACAATATAATGCACAAAAAAGTCATTAACATGTCATTTTATCATTTTATCATTTTAACATTTTAACATTTCACTTTAAAAACAGAGGCCTGGGCCTGGACTTGAGCCTGGGTCTGGGTCTGAGCCTCAGCCTGGGTCTGGGTCTGAGCCTAAGCCTGGGTCTGAGCCTCAGCCTGGGTCTGAGCCTCAGCCTGGGTCTGGGTCTGAGCCTCAGCCTGGGTCTGGGTCTGAGCCTAAGCCTGGGTCTGAGCCTCAGCCTGGGTCTGAGCCTCAGCCTGGGTCTGGGTCTGAGCCTCAGTCTGGGTCTGGGTCTGAGCCTAAGCCTGGGTCTGAGCCTCAGCCTGGGTCTGAGCCTCAGCCTGGGTCTGGGTCTGAGCCTAAGCCTGGGTCTGAGCCTCAGCCTGGGTCTGAGCCTCAGCCTGGGTCTGGGTCTGAGCCTCAGCCTGGGTCTGAGCCTCAGCCTGGGTCTGAGCCTAAGCCTGGGTCTGAGCCTCAGCCTGGGTCTGAGCCTCAGCCTGGGTCTGAGCCTCAGCCTGGGTCTGAGCCTAAGCCTGGGTCTGGGCCTAAGCCTGGGTCTGAGCCTCAGCCTGGGTCTGAGCCTCAGCCTGGGTCTGAGCCTCAGCCTGGGTCTGAGCCTAAGCCTGGGTCTGGGCCTCAGCCTGGGTCTGAGCCTAAGCCTGGGTCTGAGCCTCAGCCTGGGTCTGAGCCTCAGCCTGGGTCTGAGCCTCAGCCTGGGTCTGAGCCTCAGCCTGGGTCTGAGCCTCAGCCTGGGTCTGAGCCTCAGCCTGGGTCTGAGCCTCAGCCTGGGTCTGAGCCTCAGCCTGGGTCTGAGCCTAAGCCTGGGTCTGGGCCTCAGCCTGGGTCTGAGCCTAAGCCTGGGTCTGAGCCTCAGCCTGGGTCTGAGCCTCAGCCTGGGTCTGAGCCTCAGCCTGGGTCTGAGCCTCAGCCTGGGTCTGAGCCTCAGCCTGGGTCTGAGCCTCAGCCTGGGTCTGAGCCTCAGCCTGGGTCTGAGCCTAAGCCTGGGTCTGGGCCTAAGCCTGGGTCTGAGCCTCAGCCTGGGTCTGAGCCTAAGCCTGGGTCTGAGCCTCAGCCTGGGTCTGAGCCTCAGCCTGGGTCTGAGCCTCAGCCTGGGTCTGAGCCTCAGCCTGGGTCTGAGCCTCAGCCTGGGTCTGAGCCTAAGCCTGGGTCTGGGTCTGGATCTTAAACAGTTTGTGTCAAACTGAGATTGGAGCAAAGTGTGAAACATGTGTTTGAAGTGAACATTTGGATGTAACAGGATCAGACGAATGTAGCAGAATATTAGACGTAGGAGAATCTGTCGGAGCACATTAGAGTCTGTAGGAGCACATTAGAGTCTGTCGGAGCACATTAGAGTCTGTAGGAGCACATTAGAGTCTGTAGGAGCACATTAGAGTCTGTCGGAGCACATTAGAGTCTGTAGGAGCACATTAGAGTCTGTAGGAGCACATTAGAGTCTGTAGGAGCACATTAGAGTCTGTAGGAGCACATTAGGAGCACATTAGCAGAGGAAGTGATCGGCCGCAGCCTTCCATCGCTGCAGGACCTGTACGTCGCCCGAGCTCGAGGCCGGGCTGGTCGTATCACAGCCGACCCCTCTCACCTGCACATGGACTATTCCAACCACTCCCTTCTCACCTGCACATGGACTATTCCAACCACTCCCTTCTCACCTGCACATGGACTATTCCAACCACTCCCCTCAGGCAGGAGGCTGCGGTCCATCAGGACTAGAACCTCCCGCCACAAGAACAGTTTCTTCCCCTCTGCTGTTGGACTCTTGAACACTTCTTAACCTGTCCCCCCGCCCTTTATAAAGTCACTTTACTGCCCATCATACGTCACTTTACTTCACTGTACTGCTGTCACCTTACATTGTGTGCACCATGTGCACTTGGATATTGTAAATAGTAACTGTAACTCTAGTTTAAATTTAAATGTATTCTTTAGAAGTGTTTTTTATTCTTATTTTTATTATCTCTTTTTGACTGTTGCACTGAGCCAAAGCAATTTCCAAGTCTGTGACTTCCTGTTACCTACGTGGCAATAATAATGATTCTGATTCTGATTGTGATTAGAGTCTGTCGGAGAGTCTGTAGGAGCACATTAGAGTCTGTCAGAGAGTCTGTAGCAGCACATTAGAGTCTGTAGGAGCACATTAGAGTCTGTAGGAGCACATTAGAGTCTGTCGGAGAGTCTGTAGCAGCACATTAGAGTCTGTCGGAGAGTCTGTAGCAGCACATTAGAGTCTGTCAGAGAGTCTGTAGCAGCACATTAGAGTCTGTCAGAGAGTCTGTAGCAGCACATTAGAGTCTGTCGGAGAGTCTGTAGCAGCACATTAGAGTCTGTCGGAGAGTCTGTAGCAGCACATTAGAGTCTGTCGGAGAGTCTGTAGCAGCACATTAGAGTCTGTCAGAGAGTCTGTAGCAGCACATTAGAGTCTGTCAGAGAGTCTGTAGCAGCACATTAGAGTCTGTCGGAGAGTCTGTAGCAGCACATTAGAGTCTGTCGGAGAGTCTGTAGCAGCACATTAGAGTCTGTCGGAGAGTCTGTAGCAGCAGTGTAGTGAGGAGCAGCAGACTGCGGTGGGACTCGCAGAGTAAAGGGTTAACTTTCAGGCGCGTAAACATTCTGCTTCAGCTTCAGGAGAATCCAAATCTTTATGAAACTGAGAGAATGTGGCGTTAGCGCCGGTCCCAGACTCAGAACACACAAAGAGACGCGGCTCTCGGAGGAACAGGAGGGAAACCTCCTGTGACTCGCGGTACAGTCCGTTTAGAGCTCAGTTAGAGCTCAGTTAGAGCTCACGGAGAGGTTGTGTCGCAAACACATGTAAACAACATGTAAACAAGAACAGAAACAGCGGTTATTCTCAGCCCTCTCTCCCCGCGGAGCCCTCTCCTGCTCCGGCTGTTGTCAGCCATAGCTCCCGCAGACCGAGGTGGCTGTTCCCGGAGCCCCCGGAGCTCCCCCTGCCCTGGGTCCAGCTACTCCGCACCAAAACACCAACAGAACCGTGAATACGGAGCACACACCGAGGCTCTGCCTGCTCAGGCGGCCGTAGGAGCGACTGCAGGAGCGGGCTGCCCGGGCACAGACCCTCGCTCTCCCCGGGCAGATGCGTGTTGTTCCCGGACCCAGCCCCAGCCTGGTCCGGCCTCAGAGTGGCCTCGGTCCGCAGGCAGATTGAACGGTACATTAGGATGTGAGATCCCGGTCAGACAGACCCTCCGCCTCCGGAGCGGCCTCACGGAGCCTCACGGAGCCTCACGGAGCCACAAAGCTGTCAAACCCGCGGCTCTCGCCATTTTAGTTTGTGAAGCTCCACAAAAGCAGACACAGAGCGGCTCTTACCTGCCGTGGAACCAGTCCTTGCAGACATCACATTCTATCATGAACTGGGTCACGTCGTACGGTAATCTGCAGATGCAATACACGGGAGCAGTCACGGGAGCAGTCGCCATGTTCGATCCAAGCTACAGCGGGATGGACCGGGGGGGCTGCGGAGACACACGGTCCTGCAGACACACGGTCCTGCAGACACACGGTCCTGCAGACACTCAGCAGCAGCAGGGGCTGTCCCCGCGGACACATCAGCTACATGCACGGGGCTGCTCCGGTGCACGCTCTTTCCTCAGATGCATTATTATGATTGTTACCGTGTGTTACCGTGTGCCCCCTACTGACGGACTGCACACGCTCCGCGCTCACAGCCTCCGGTCGTTACCGCGTACATGCTACGGTACAGCTTTATGTCTGCGGCCCTGACGTCATCACGAGCACCGCGTTCATCTCACGGTTAATAAACAACAATTACAATAATAATCATCATCATAATACTGTAATAACACAATAATCATCATCATAATACTGTAATAACACAATAATCATCATCATAATACTGTAATAACGCAATAATCATCATCATAATACTGTAAAAACACAATAATAATAATCATAATACTGTAATAACACAACAATAATCATCATAATACTGTAAAAACACAATAATAATAATCATAATACTGTAATAACACAATAATAATCATCATAATACTGTAATAACACAATAATAATCATCATAATACTGTAAAAACACAATAATAATCATCATAATACTGTAATAACATAATAATAATCATCATAATACTGTAATAACACAATAATAATCATCATAATACTGTAATAACACAATCATCATCGTCAGGACAGTGTTAGTCTGTGTGTCAGGAGGAAGCACACAAACTATATATAAACATATATATGTATACATACATATACATACATATATATATGTTTGCAACATTTCCTAACTCTTCCACATCCAGAATTGTTCCTCAGAAGTACCACTGCTCACCAGGGGGCGCTGTCTCCTTGGTTTCACCTAAACAGATTTTACTATTTTACTATATATGTACTAGCCTGGCCTTATCCATCCGTAAACTCCGTTCAATCGTCATTTCCTGGATGTAACGTCTAGGTCGGGTCCCTGTGTTTGCGATTACAATCGGTTGAATTTTGACCGACCAATCAGTGGAAGGCAGGTGTTGTATTTAGTTGTGGGTGACGTCAAGAGTTTGCGTCGAATGGGAAGGCTGTAGTTTGGTAATGGCGATAAATGCGATAGTAAAGTAATCCAGTCTGGTTCTATCAAGAAACTGAAGCAGGAGCAAGAGGAATGTTTAGTGAATGTAATCGCTGGTAAAGATTGTGGCGCTACTCCCCACGGGCTCTGTTAGCGGCAAAGGAGATGGCTAAATGCTAAATGCTAACAACACACTCGGGCTCATTACATACGTCACAGTAAACTCAGATCCAAACGCCTCAATCTGCAAAAGGAGTTAGCCCCTCCCACCTGTTAACGGAGTCAATGGAGCAGATCCAGACCTTAGTATGAAATGTCATTTGTACTATGGTGTGGTACGACCAGGCTACACATGCAGTACATGCAGATTATATCTCCTGTTTTTTTCCAGGGTTAGCTCTATTTACCACAGTGACCAATGTTGTAAATCTGCAACATCCCAGAATGCATTGCCTGCAAAAGTCAAGATTGTATTCTATACAAATAAATACATATATAACCAACAGAACAACAAGAGTGTGTTTCTGATGAGAAAAAAACAGACTGTTTTTGGACACACAGACACATATACACAGACACACACAGACAGACACACAGACATTAACACACACACACAGACACATGTACACATTGACAGACACACACACACACAGAGACAGACAGAGACACAGACACACACACACACACAGACAGACACATGTACACATTGACAGACACACACACACAAAGACAGACACACAGAGACACACACACACAGACAGACACACACACACACACACACACACTTTGTCGAGTCATTTCTGGTGGAAAAGTAAACAAACATCTGGAGTGACTTTCATAAACAAATGTTTTATTATTAGAAAATAACATTTACAAAACATGAAAACGGTAAAAACTGCTTCATCTCGACACGTCCTTCATTATTCTCCAACTTCACTGCAAAAAGTGACACGTTTAGTCACATTTGAGACATTTTTGACTTATTTCTGACACTTTCTCTTTTAAACCAGTGTTTACTTTGATGTAGTGTTCATGAAGCCTCTCTGCGACCACAGGGACTGATGGAGGAAGCACAGGGCCTGATGGAGGAAGCACAGGGCCTGATGGAGGAAGCACAGGGCCTGATGGAGGAAGCACAGGGCCTGATGGAGGAAGCACAGGGCCTGATGGAGGAAGCACAGGGACTGATGGAGGAAGCACAGGGCTGATGGAGGAAGCACAGGGCCTGATGGAGGAAGCACAGGGCCTGATGGAGGAAGCACAGGGCCTGATGGAGGAAGCACAGGGCCTGATGGAGGAAGCACAGGGACTGATGGAGGAAGCACAGGGACTGATGGAGGAAGCACAGGGCCTGATGGAGGAAGCACAGGGCCTGATGGAGGAAGCACAGGGCCTGATGGAGGAAGCACAGGGACTTATGGAGCAGAGCAGCTCAGACCTTCCAGAATACTTTGCCGCATCATCTCCACTTTGGCCGTGAGCTCCGTCTAAAGAAACAAAGGTATTATTTTAAAGCAGTAAATTTGTAAGTATCACAGGGACCTGTACCTGTCCGTCACAAAGGGACAGCAGCTGGCCCCGCCCCTGTTTGGATCGGATTATTTTACTTTGAAAGAGTTTTCCGTCAAAGAACATCCAGGGACAGCAGTGCTCCCAGGGCACGGGGCGACCACACGCATCGTTAGCAAACATCGCCGTGTCCACGCCGCTCATCAACACGGACGCCAACTGCAGACCGCGGGCGTCCAAGGCCTCCGTCTGAGGAGGACACGTGTCAGCGGTAGTAACACACATGACACACACACATAGTACAATAACACATCGAGTTTAACCGGGTGCTACGTAGTACGAGAGAAAGGTATTTTTCTGAAATGATTGAAGGCTGCAGCAACAATCTGCGTGTTCTGTTTTCAACAGTTAATAGATTAACAAACCCCCCTGTTCAGATGCCATTAGAGCTAACTTCCAAACGTAAATGCAATGAGTTTGCACATTTTTTCAATGACAAGGTTCAAGGCATCAAAAACGCCATTGTCTCCAATCAACAGATAACCATCCAACAGCCAGAAAGGCTCTCTGAGCTAACTTACTTTGCACCTGTAAATGATCAAACTGTCCAAGAGATAATCTCCAGTCTGAGCACCTCCACATGTAGCCTGGATGTACTACCCACTAGATTTCTAAAGTCTGTTCTGAGCAGTCTGTTACCTTCACTCACACAGATAGTAAACATGTCCCTTCATTCTGGAATATTCCCAAAGGCCCTGAAAACTGCAGTCATCAGGCCCCTGCTAAAAAAGAGCAGTCTGGATGCTACGGTACTTAACAACTATCGTCCCATCTCAAATCTGCCATTTATGGGGAAAGTCCTTGAGAAAGTTATCTACCTACAGCTTACTAGATTTCTTATAATCAACAACTCATTTGATATGTTTCAGTCCGGCTTTAGACCCCACCACAGCACTGAGACTGCTCTCGTTAAGGTTACAAATGATATCCGGCTGAACACTGACGCAGGCAAAGTCTCAATCTTAATCTTGTTAGATCTGAGTGCTGCCTTTGACACCGTCGACCATGAGATCCTCTTACAGAGACTAGAGGACTGGGTTGGCGTCGCTGGCACCGCCCTAAGTTGGTTTAGGTCTTACCTTGAAGACAGGAAGTACTTTGTGGAGATTGGAAACTGTGTCTCAGATCATATGGCCCTGACCTGTGGAGTCCCACAGGGGTCGATCCTGGGACCTCTTCTGTTCAATCTCTACATGCTGCCGTTAGGTCAGTTAATACGCAGAAACAAAGTTTCCTATCATAACTATGCAGACAACACTCAGATCTATGTCTCACTGACTGCAGGAGAACATGGACCAGTGGACTCACTCCTTCACTGTATCCAACAGATCAGTGAGTGGATGCAAAACAACTTCCTTCAGCTAAACGCAGACAAAACTGAAATGATTGTCTTTGGTCCCCAGAAACAAAGAGAGAGCGTCATCTGTCACCTACAGTCTCTCTCCCTAAAACCTTCAAACAAGGTCAGAAATCTAGGGGTAATACTGGACTCAGACTTAAATTTTAATAGCCACATCAAATCAGTAACATCAGCAGCTTTTTACCATCTAAAAAACATTGCCAGGATCAAAAACATAGTGTCTAAAGCAGACCTGGAGATTCTTATCCATGCATTTGTCTCCACTAGGTTAGACTACTGCAATGGCCTGCTCACAGGTCTGTCCAAACAGGCTGTAAAACAGCTGCAGTACATTCAAAATGCAGCAGCTCGAGTCCTGACTAGAACCAGGAAGTACGACCATATTAGTCCTGACTAGAACCAGGAAGTACGACCATATTAGTCCTGACTAGAACCAGGAAGTACGACCACATTAGTCCTGACTAGAACCAGGAAGTACGACCATATTAGTCCTGACTAGAACCAGGAAGTACGACCACATTAGTCCTGACTAGAACCAGGAAGTACGACCACATTAGTCCTGACTAGAACCAGGAAGTACGACCACATTAGTCCTGACTAGAACCAGGAAGTAGGACCACATTAGTCCGGTCCTCAGGTCTCTGCACTGGCTTCCTGTGGCTCAGAGAATAGACTTTAAAACAGCTCTGCTTGTTACAAGTCTCTCCATGGCCTCGCACCAAAATATATTAGTGACATGTTAGTCCCATATGAACCAGCCCGGACTCTGAGGAGCACAGGGACTGGCCTCCTGCTGGGACTCTGAGGAGCACAGGGACTGGCCTCCTGCTGGGACTCTGAGGAGCACAGGGACTGGACTCCTGCTGGGACTCTGAGGAGCACAGGGACTGGACTCCTGCTGGGACTCTGAGGAGCACAGGGACTGGACTCCTGCTGGGACTCTGAGGAGCACAGGGACGGGGCCCTTGTTCGTGCCCAGAGTCAGAACTAAATATGGGGAGGCTGCATTTCAGATTCATTCCATTCCATATTGTTATCTTTCTTTTTAATGTTCTGTGATTATTTATGATTTTAATGCTTTCTTGTTTTATTCAGCACTTTGAGTTGCCTTGGTATGAATATGTGCTATACACATAAACTTGCCTTGCCTAAAGGAGTCACACCTGTGACCCCCTGGACGACGCCCCGGAGGTAATAAAGTGTAGATGTACGCCTTCTTCACCGGAGCTCTGAGTCGCCCTGCGGGGGGCGACGGTGGCGTTGTCCTTGGGGTATCTATTGCCGTTTTGCTGACCGTGCGTAGGGGCTGGTGTGAAGGCTGCTGTTCACCCGCTCCTCCATCAGTTCTTTTGGTTTGCGGTTATCGACTGTTAGCCATTTTGCTACCTGTGGCTCTGCTTCCACGTGGACGGGTCACATACGTGTGAGGGCTGCGGGTCTGCACTCGATGTCAATGATGGCCATGACCCGAGTCCGGCGTGCCTCGGCCCCACTCGAGGGGCCGTGTCCGATAGTCCGTACATGAAGCTGCTTGCCCTGGGCTGTTGGGGTGGCGAGGCTGGTACAGCTGCTTTCGACTGGCAACTGTGGTAGTTTGCCAATGGGACCTGCTGGGGCTTCACCTCCATGGCATTCAAAGCCGTGCTGAGGCCAGTGCTTGAGGGGGGCGGTCTGAGGACGCTCTGGTCCTTCCAAACAGGCGAAGCCAGATGCCCCCCGGTGTCCAGGGGGGAGCAGGTGTCTGCAGAGTTGGAGGAGATGAAATCGTCATTCCAGACTTGTTATGCTGCTGCTCTTGCCTCTGAGGCTGGTTTCTTGCTGCGTGCCTTCCCTCCATCCGGAAGACGAAGTGCTTTTTCAGGACAGGCTGACCCTGGCAGTGCTTTCTTCAGTCGTGGTAGTCCTTCTCCTGTTTTTGTGGTGCCCCCGTCTGCGGCGTATCTTAAGGAGATACATGCGTGCTGGAGGGACCCCAGCCATCTCTCTGAGCTTTCAGCTCAGGGTCAGGCCTTAGCCGCTATGCACAGTGCCGCTTCAGCTGGCCTTCTCCGGAGGAGTCCTTGCAGGAGAATGTGAGGTGCCCTCGGAGCCAGTGTTGTGCAACGGATCAGTTTGATCTGATGCACAACACTGGCATCAGATCAACTGATACGGAAATTTACGTGCTCCACCCGTACCTAGGCGCCCTGCCCGCCAGTCAGGTGGCACCGGGACTGGTCCTGGGCGATATCCCCCCAAAACCCCTAGTGGTTGGGTAGAGCCCAATGCTCTACAACTGAACCACTGTCGCCCTCACAATTCAAGCCCCTCCATTCCAAAATGGGTCAAAAGCCCTCCGCTTTCTGGCTTCCCGTCCACAGATTTGAGAGACATCCCCGAGGGGTTCGGATAACCACTTGGGGATGAAAGGGACCCGTTTGCTTCGGTGGCCTCGACTCATTGCCCTGTTTTTTTTCCTGGATGTGGCCCCGGGCTGCCTTGGTCAGTATGCCCTGCCTCAGGTGCTACTGTACACCTTCCCCCCTTTTCCTCTGATTAGGCCCACCCTCCAGAGGGTCCTTCAGGAGGGGCAGGTTGTTGCTGGTGGCTCGGTTTTAGCCTGCGCGGCCCTGGTTTCCACTGCTACTCAGACTGTGTTAGACTCCCCTTTGGCCTCCCCCGCCCAGGCAGGATCTGCTCTCACAGCTGGACGGTCAGGTGTGGCACCCCTGTCCTCGCCACCTGCAGTTGTGGGTGTGGCCGTTGGCGGGCCCGAGCTGCAGGCCCTCGGTGTCACTGGCCCTGTCAGGGGTAGTCTCCTGAATGCCAGAGCGGCCTCTACTCGACGGCAGTTTGGGAACAGGTGGAAGTTGTTCCTTCAGCCTCTGCTGGATGAAGGTCAGGCCCAGTCTACTCTAAAGGTACATGTTGCTGCTAAATCATGTTATCATGGCCTGGTTGGTAACTGTAGGGGGGCCATGACCTGGTGTCTGCCTTTTTACACAGAGCTCGTTGCACGGATTGGGATCCGGCATTGGAGTCTCTCTGCCGTCCTCCGTATGAGCCTTTGGCTCGGACAGACCTCAAGTGGCTCTCCTGTAAGACTGCTTTCCTATTGGCTGTGGTCTCTGCGAAAAGGGTTTGTGAGTTGTTTGTACTTTCTATCAGTCCCTCGTGCCTCCGTTGGGATCCTGAGAGGGCTGGCTTTGTCTTGTGGCCTAATCCCACTTTCCTCCCGAAGGTGCTTTCCCATGATTATTATAACAAGCCTTAGAGGTTGGTGCGATTTGTGTTTCCACTGGATGGGGGTGGGGACAGGCTGCACCTGCTGTGCCCTGTGAGGGCAATCAAGGCCTACGTTGCTGCAACGGCGGGTGTGAGGCGCTCAGACCAGCTCTTTGTCAGTTATGGTGGTGCTAGGCAGGGCGGTCTGCTTTCTTAGCCTTTCCCACTGGGTGGTTGACGTTATCAGTCGTGCGTATGTTTCGGCCGGCCACGACCCACCGTTTGAGGTGAGCCCATTCTACCAGGGGTGTCTCTACCTCCTGGGCCGCTATGCGCGGAGTTGCTTGGGGACTATATGTGCTGCTGCGTCTTGGGCTACACTGAGCAAGGTTACTTATGTAACCACAGTTAAATGAATCCCGGATGACCGCCAGAGGCGCTCTGTCACTCAGGGTGCTTGCGTTTCCGTGAGAATATTCTGCAGAAACAGAGTGATGAATGATGCTGGACTTTATTACCTCTGGGGCGTCATGCAGGGGGTCACAGGTGTGACTGGTATTATTTCTCAAACTGCACATATGCGAAGGGAACATTCAGTGCTATGCACAGCCTTCTGGCGGTCAGAAGGGATTCATAGAACCGTGGGTACATACGTAACCTTCGTTTGTGTGTGTCTTTTGGTTTGCGTGCGTGCGTGTGTATGCATGTGTGTGCGTGTGTGTGTGCGTGCGTGCGTGTGTGTGCGTGCGTGTGTGTGCGTCTCGTCACCTCCAGGTCCTGCTCTGGATCATGACGTTCAGGAGAAACTGCTTGAGCGAGAAACGCATCAAGTTCATGAGGACGTAAAATTCTTGTTCCCGACCACTGCAACATACACCTGAGGATGAAGAAGACCACGGTAACATACACCTGAGGATGAAGAAGACCACGGTAACATACACCTGAGGATGAAGAAGACCACGGTAACATACACCTGAGGATGAAGAAGACCACGGTAACATACACCTGAGGATGAAGAAGACCACGGTAACATACACCTGAGGATGAAGAAGACCACGGTAACATACACCTGAGGATGAAGAAGACCACGGTAACATACACCTGAGGATGAAGAAGACCACGGTAACATACACCTGAGGATGAAGAAGACCACGGTAACATACACCTGAGGATGAAGAAGACCACGGTAACATACACCTGAGGATGAAGAAGACCACGGTAACATACACCTGAGGATGAAGAAGACCACGGTAACATACACCTGAGGATGAAGAAGACCACGGTAACATACACCTGAGGATGAAGAAGACCACGGTAACATACACCTGAGGATGAAGAAGACCACGGTAACATACACCTCATTTACATCCAGTACCATCAACACCGGACTAAGCTACTGGTCCCTGCGGCTATTATAGCGATGCAGCTAACATGTGTGATTGTGTTGTTCATAAACTCTGCTCTGAAGTCACAGAAGCTAACAGTGAAGGAGTCACAGAAGCTAACAGTGAAGGAGTCACAGAAGCTAACAGTGAAGGAGTCACAGAAGCTAACGGTGAAGGAGTCACAGAAGCTAACGGTGAAGGAGTCACAGAAGCTAACGGTGAAGGAGTCACAGAAGCTAACGGTGAAGGAGTCACAGAAGCTAACAGTGAAGGAGTCACAGAAGCTAACAGTGAAGGAGTCACAGAAGCTAACGGTGAAGGAGTCACAGAAGCTAACGGTGAAGGAGTCACAGAAGCTAACGGTGAAGGAGTCACAGAAGCTAACAGTGAAGGAGTCACAGAAGCTAACAGTGAAGGAGTCACAGAAGCTAACAGTGAAGGAGTCACAGAAGCTAACAGTGAAGGAGTCACAGAAGCTAACAGTGAAGGAGTCACAGAAGCTAACAGTGAAGGAGTCACAGAAGCTAACGGTGAAGGAGTCACAGAAGCTAACAGTGAAGGAGTCACAGAAGCTAACAGTGAAGGAGTCACAGAAGCTAACGGTGAAGGAGTCACAGAAGCTAACGGTGAAGGAGTCACAGAAGCTAACAGTGAAGGAGTCACAGAAGCTAACAGTGAAGGAGTCACAGAAGCTAACAGTGAAGGAGTCACAGAAGCTAACGGTGAAGGAGTCACAGAAGCTAACAGTGAAGGAGTCACAGAAGCTAACAGTGAAGGAGTCACAGAAGCTAACAGTGAAGGAGTCACAGAAGCTAACAGTGAAGGAGTCACAGAAGCTAACAGTGAAGGAGTCACAGAAGCTAACAGTGAGGAGTCACAGAAGCTAACAGTGAAGGAGTCACAGAAGCTAACAGTGAAGGAGTCACAGAAGCTAACGTGAAGGAGTCCAAGCTAACAGTGAAGGAGCACAAACAGAACGGTTGAAGGAGTCACAGAAGCTAACAGTGAAGGAGTCACAGAAGCTAACACAGGTGAAGGAGTCACAGAAGCTAACAGTGAAGGAGTCACAGAAGCTAACAGTGAAGGAGTCACAGAAGCTAACAGTGAAGGAGTCACAGAAGCTAACAGTGAAGGAGTCACAGAAGCTAACAGTGAAGGAGTCACAGAAGCTAACAGTGAAGGAGTCACAGAAGCTAACAGTCACAGAAGCTACGAGGAGTCACAGAAGCTAACAGTGAAGGAGTCACAGAAGCTAACAGTGAAGGAGTCACAGAAGCTAACAGTGAAGGAGTCACAGAAGCTAACAGTGAAGGAGTCACAGAAGCTAACAGTGAAGGAGTCACAGAAGCTAACAGTGAAGGAGTCACAGAACAGAAGCTACGTGAAGGAGTCACAGAAGCTAACAGTGAAGGAGTCACAGAAGCTAACGTGAAGGAGTCACAGAAGCTAACAGTGAAGGAGTCACAGAAGCTAACAGTGAAGGAGTCACAGAAGCTAACAGTGAAGAGTCACAGAAGCTAACAGTGAAGGAGTCACAGAAGCTAACAAGTGAAGGAGTCACAGAAGCTAACAGTGAAGGAGTCACAGAAGCTAACAGTGAAGGAGTCACAGAAGCTAACAGTGAAGGAGTCACAGAAGCTAACAGTGAAGGAGTCACAGAAGCTAACAGTGAAGGAGTCACGAAGCTAACAGTGAAGGAGTCCAGAAGCTAACAGTGAAGGAGTCACAGAAGACATGAAGATCACAGGAAGGAGTCACAGAAGCTAACGGTGAAGGAGTCACAGAAGAGCTAACGTGAAGGAGTCACAGAAGCTAACGTGAAGGAGTCACAGAAGCTAACAGTGAAGGAGTCACAGAAGCTAACAGTGAAGGAGTCACAGAAGCTAACAGTGAAGGAGTCACAGAAGCTAACGGTGAAGGAGTCACAGAAGCTAACGGTGAAGGAGTCACAGAAGCTAACAGTGAAGGAGTCACAGAAGCTAACGGTGAAGGAGTCACAGAAGCTAACGGTGAAGGAGTCACAGAAGCTAACAGTGAAGGAGTCACAGAAGCTAACAGTGAAGGAGTCACAGAAGCTAACAGTGAAGGAGTCACAGAAGCTAACAGTGAAGGAGTCGGGGTGTAGAAAAGGTGTAGAAGGAAAGGTGTAGAAGGAAAGGTGTAGAAGGAAGGGTGTAGAAGGAAAGGTGTAGAAGGAAAGGTGTAGAAGGAAGGGTGTAGAAGGAAGGGTGTAGAAGGAAGGGTGTAGAAGGAAAGGTGTAGAAGGAAGGGTGTAGAAGGAAGGGTGTAGAAGGAAAGGTGTAGAAGGAAGGGTGTAGAAGGAAGGGTGTAGAAGGAAGGGTGTAGAAGGAAAGGTGTAGAAGGAAAGGTGTAGAAGGAAGGGTGTAGAAGGAAGGGTGTAGAAGGAAAGGTGTAGAAGGAAAGGTGTAGAAGGAAGGGTGTAGAAGGAAGGGTGTAGAAGGAAGGGTGTAGAAGGAAAGGTGTAGAAGGAAAGGTGTAGAAGAAAAGGTGTAGAACCATGGCGCTCACCGCAGGACGCAGCAGAGGACCATGAAGGGAGCAGGCACGTGGCGGCGCATCGCTGGTGTGTCCGAGCGCATACAGGTCAGGAACGCTCGCAGGCGACGGCTCTGGTCCTCGGCAGTCTTCCCGAGCCACAGCTGCCTCAGACTGGGGCAGGTCCAGTCCCTGAAGACCAGCGCCTCCACCAGCTCTGGCGTCTGCGGCGCTTTGCCTTTGTACGCCGCCCACTCCTTCACCACCACACGATGATCTGACGGAGAGAAGAATCTTTTCATCTCAGACATTACTTACTATATAAACAATCCTCCGCCATTTTACTGAGTGTGTCTTCATCAGAAACATCTGGAATTGTTTTACATAAACCCACTCTGTTCTGTTCTTGTATCCTATAAACCACAGCAGAAGTTTCTCTGCGGACTTTACAAAGCTGTCGATTCTCCAGCACAGATCAGAGAATCAAACACAAAGCCATTGGTCCAGAATGTTAAAATATCAGCTGTAACTCCGCCCCTTCTCTCTTAAAGCTCCTGTCTCAGAGTGATGTCATTGTGCTGTGACATCACACTCAGTTATAGTAGTAGTATATATTTCTCAGATTAGTTTTAGAAATTTCTCAGGTGAGATTAAGCTCTTTGCAATCCTCGATGGTTACAGCCGGTAATTTTCAAATGTGGTAAATAAACAGTTCTACGCCGCCCTCTGGTGGCGGCAGAGGGAGCTACAGGCCCATAGCATCATTAACTTAATCAATGACTCATTATTTGACTCTAAAACAAGAAAGGCCAAAGTAAAGAACCTAATTTTTAAAGGTCAAAGATACACTGTTGTTTAACACTGACATGTCATTTTGACTGCTCCATTCATTTGAAGTAACGATCAAATGTTGTTGTTTTTGGTAGCTTTCTTTCTATGGCAATTAAAGCCTGGTCTTGGACTGGTTCTGGTCTTTGACTGGTTCTGGTCCTGGATTGGTTCTGGTTCAGCTTGATTTTCCACCAGGTAAAAGCTAGTTACCATAGCAACACACTCTTAACGGGCAGCAGTTAGCATTAGCATTATTGTTTTGACAAACTGTTTTTTCTGCATATTCAGCAGTTTTAGCACATATTGAAGTGAGTAAAAACCTTATACAGTTCTTACTTTTAACAACATTGGAGCAGTCAAAATGACTGCTGTGGGAGTAGTTCCATACTGGCAGTCCAAACATGAGCCAGAGAAAGATGATGAACTGAGGCCTACCCTGTGGGGGGTCCTTTGGAGCTCGCTGCTCTGTCCTCGTGGCGGTGGAGAGACTGAACAGAACGCCGTACACAAACTGACGCACCGGGCGGAACAGCCGCACGGCTGCCGGAAGTTCCAGGTTTGTATCGTCTTCAATGCACACAGAGAGCTTCACTTCCCCCTGAAAACAAGTGATGTTTTAGACCCAAGTCCCTCAGACCCTCAGACCCTCAGACCCTCAGCAGTCTGTGCAGACCTCAGTGAGGATCTGGAGGACGCCCGGATACATGAGGCCGCTCCGGTGTCTGTGCTCCGCCACACGGAGGACCTCAGGCGCCACGGCCGGGAGAGACGGCGAGCTGAGGTCCACGTGGGTCCTGACCTCCATGGACAGCAGGGGGTGGGACTGAGGGGACTGATGGGACTGAGGGGGCTGAGGGGACTGAGGAGGGGACTGAGGAGGGGGCTGAGGAGGGGGCTGAGGAGGGGGCTGAGGGGACTGAGGAGGGGGCTGAGGGGACTGAGGAGGGGACTGAGGAGGGGACTGAGGAGGGGGCTGTGGGGACTGAGGAGGGGGATGAGTGGGCTGAGGTGACTGAGGGGGAGGAGCCACAGAGATCTCAGTCTGCTGAAAACAATGAAAACAACATTATTGAATCAATAATCTGTAAAACTGTGTCACATCAAACAGCACCTGCTCCACTTTGACTTTCTCCTCAGACTCAGCTCCTGCTGCGAGCGAAGAGTTAGAGCTGCCACAGAAACACGTTAGATACACGAACACGCTAAATACACAAACACGCTAGATACACAAACACGCTAGATACACAAACACGCTAGATACACGAACACGCTAAATACACAAACACGCTAAATACACAAACACGTTAGATACACGAACACGCTAGATACACAAACACGCTAGATACACGAACACGCTAGATACACGAACACGCTAGATACACGAACACGCTAGATACACAAACACGCTAGATACACGAACACGCTAGATACACGAACACGCTAGATACACAAACACGCTAGATACACGAACACGCTAGATACACGAACACGCTAGATACACAAACACGCTAGATACACAAACACGCTAGATACACAAACACGCTAGATACACAAACACGCTAGATACACGAACACGCTAGATACACGAACACGCTAAATACACAAACACGTTAGATACACGAACACGCTAGATACACAAACACGTTAGATACACAAACACGCTAGATACACAAACACGTTAGATACACGAACACGTTAGATACACGAACACGCTAGATACACGAACACGCTAGATACACAAACACGCTAGATACAGCTTTTTAGGTTCTTCTAATAAGACAATTAAAGCAAAAAAAGCTAGTACTGCTTAGATACCTGGAACACGTTATGTTAGATACACGAACACGTTAGATACACGAACACGCTAGATACACGAACACGTTAGATACATGAACACGCTAGATACACAAACACGCTAGATACACAAACACGTTAGATACACGAACACGTTAGATACACGAACACGCTAGATACACAAACACGCTAGATACACGAACACGTTAGATACACGAACACGTTAGATACACAAACACGCTAGATACACGAACACGCTAGATACACGAACACGCTAAATACACAAACACGTTAGATACACAAACACGCTAGATACACAAACACGTTAGATACACAAACACGCTAGATACACAAACACGTTAGATACACGAACACGTTAGATACACAAACACGCTAGATACACAAACACGTTAGATACACGAACACGCTAGATACACAAACACGCTAGATACACGAACACGTTAGATACACAAACACGTTAGATACACAAACACGTTAGATACACGAACACGCTAGATACACGAACACGCTAGATACACGAACACGTTAGATACACGAACACGTTAGATACACGAACACGCTAGATACACAAACACGCTAGATACACGAACACGTTAGATACACAAACACGTTAGATACACGAACACGTTAGATACACAAACACGCTAGATACACGAACACGCTAGATACACGAACACGCTAGATACACGAACACGCTAGATACACGAACACGCTAAATACACAAACACGTTAGATACACGAACACGCTAGATACACAAACACGCTAGATACACGAACACGCTAGATACACGAACACGCTAGATACACAAACACGCTAGATACACAAACACGCTAGATACACGAACACGCTAAATACACAAAAACGTTAAATACACGAACACGCTAGATACACAAACACGTTAGATACACAAACACGCTAGATACACAAACACGTTAGATACACGAACACGTTAGATACACGAACACGTTAGATACACGAACACGCTAGATACACGAACACGCTAGATACACGAACACGCTAGATACAGCTTTTTAGGTTCTTCTAAGACAATTAAAGCAAAAAAAGCTAGTACTGCTTAGATACCTGGAACACGTTATGTTAGATACACAAACACGTTAGATACACGAACATGTTAGATACACGAACACGTTAGATACACGAACACGTTAGATACACAAACACGCTAGATACACAAACACGTTAGATACACGAACACGTTAGATACACAAACACGCTAGATACACAAACACGCTAGATACACGAACACGTTAGATACACGAACACGTTAGATACACAAACACGCTAGATACACGAACACGCTAGATACACGAACACGTTAGATACACGAACACGTTAGATACAGCTTTTTAGGTTCTTCTAATAAGACAATTAAAGCAAAAAAAGCTAGTACTGCTTAGATACCTGGAACACGTTATGTTAGATACACGAACACATTAGATACATGAACACGCTAGATACATGAACATGTAGAAGAGACTTGTGTCAGTGATTCTTTGTGTAGTTCTTACTGGACAGTTGTGTGTTCTCTGTTCTCTGAAAGAGGAAAGTCTGGAGCATTGTTTAAGTTCTGATCCAGAGTCGGGATGCGAACCCTCTGGAACAGCAGAGTGTGAGGTCCGTTCAGAGAAGGTCCAGACCCTTCAGACCCATGGACCTGTGAACCACAGCATCGGCACTTTTATTCTTCTAAAGTGAAAACCCTGAGACATGGATCACTCTAGTTACACCAGTCCCTGAGGTGGACCTGGGGGGGCAGCATCATGCTGTGGGGCTGCTTTTCTTCAACAGGGAATGGATGTGAATGTGGAGGGAGCTGCTCTAGCATCAGAACTGTTTCCTTAAACATGAAGTCTTTTCATAGAATGGTTTAAAACAATACACAAGGGACGAGAGTAGCTCAGTTGGTAGAGCATTGGCCTTAAGGCCAGAAGGTCGTGGGTTCAATTCCCACCTCTGCACCTTCTCCACCGACTCCCACTGATGACTGCTGTCGTTGTGTCCTTGGGCAAGACACTTAACCCCACTTTGCCCAAAGCCCCCACTGAAAGATCAAGGCTATGCTCACACTCAGAGAGCAGCCGTCCTCCTGTGGACTCACCACCTGCAGAGGGTCAGTGAGGGGCTGGTGCTATGAGACTTGGGTGGCATCTCTGACTGTCACCCCCCTGACCCAGAAATGGATTAAAGGGAAGAAAATGGATGGATGGATGGATGGATGGTTTAAAACAAAACATAAATAAACCTGCACAGTTTAGTTTCATTTGAGAAGTGAGGCCCTGAAGCTGCGGACGCTACAGCGATGCATTTGCTGCATTTGTACTTGGAGCAGAGGGGGTTGGATACTTTTGCACATCAATCATTTGAGTTTGTATCACTTTGGATAAAACATCCGGTTCACTTCAACAGCTGCAGCAGCCGCATCAGCCTCAGTACCAGTGGAACGTTGATCCCTTTGGAACTTGCTTTGGTCTCTTCTTCAGAACCTGAGAACACAGAGCAGAATGTGTCATGTACACACACAAACACGTGTACGCACACACACATACACATACACGTGTACGCACACACACATACACATACACGTGTACGCACACACACATACACATACACGTGTACACACACACATACACGTGTACGCACACACACAAACACGTGTACGCACACACACAAACACGTGTACGCACACACACATACACGTGTACGCACACACACATACGTGTACACACACACATACACGTGTACGCACACACATACACGTGTACGCACACACATACACGTGTACGCACACACATACACGTGTACGCACACACATACACGTGTACGCACACATACACGTGTACGCACACATACACGTGTACGCACACATACACGTGTACGCACACATACACGTGTACTCACACATACACGTGTACTCACACATACACGTGTACGCACACATACACGTGTACGCACACATACACGTGTACGCACACATACACGTGTACGCACACATACACGTGTACGCACACATACACGTGTACGCACACATACACGTGTACTCACACATACACGTGTACGCACACATACACGTGTACGCACACATACACGTGTACGCACACATACACGTGTACGCACACATACACGTGTACGCACACATACACGTGTACACACACATACACGTGTACACACACATACACGTGTATGTATATAAATGTGTGGGGTTAGGGTTATGTGTGGGGATCACCTCGGTGTGAAGACCCGCTGATGACAGAGTAATATGCCACTGCTTCTTGGAATCGGACTTGTTTGTCGCGGGTGCAGGACTGAGAGAAGAACACCATGATGTGATGTCACATGATGTGATGTCACATTAAAGAAGACGTGGTGAGGGTGTTTACCTGAGTGTCCTTGAACACATCCTGAGCCACAGTCTGGAGATCTGTGATGTCTGTGATACGGTTCACGTACTCAGCTACAGCTGGGACCAGAACATCCCCGGGAGGCAGCAGCAGGCGGTGGCCTCTCACCTGAACAACACTAACATTATCAAACACTCAGGACTTAAAGGAGATAAAGTTTTACCTTTAACGAGGCTAACGGATGCTCTGGACCGAGCAGAGTCCAGTAAAAAGCAGCCAGGTCCTCTTCCAGCAGGATGTGATTTCCTGATTAAACATGACGCATTATTGGTGTATATTGTATCAAAAGTATGAAACCTAAAAGAAGCACTCTGCCTGTAACCCCCGGTGCCACCACCAGGGGGACGACTTCAATATTGAAAGGAGATGTGATTGCATAGAATAGGGTCAGACTCATTTGGTCGGGGCCAAATAAAAGCAAAAAAGGGTTTTTCTCTGGAAACCTAGATATTTGTTTCACATTCACTCACTACATTCTGAAGTTTATTCTGACATGACTTTGATACAGTCATGATGTGCGCCACAGGACGCCATATACTGCGTCCTTACGCACGAGACGTTGCTACATGTTTCTTGGTCATGTGTCTCTATGGTTCTGGACGAGAATAAAGTACATGTTTTAGAAGTTAAGATATCTCTTCATTTGTTCACATTGTTGTACACGAGACATACAGTTATGAACAAAGTTCAGTTCCCTGAGCCGCGACCACAGGTGAAGAGAGCTGCTCCATTTATTTAAAGTACTACTACAATATAAGTTGCTGCTAACTACAATATGTGTTTATAATATTTCGGGTGTTCATTTTGACATGTTCAGATGAATTATGTTAAAAAAAACTGCTTTGAAGTGGCACTTTTTCACTTCCGCATAGAAACGCTAGGGGGCGCCAAAATGTCGGCGATGACGTAGGAGAAGGACCTCTCACAGCAGCAGCAGTCTGGGCTGAATCTGTAGGAGGTTTCACTGTCATCTGAACAAGGTATAAACATATTTACATCAGTTTGTACATAATAGTGTGCAACTCTTTTAACCTTTTAGCCTTATTTGTGAGATTCAAGCTAATTAGTGTTGGGCAAGTTAGCTAACTCTACTTGATATCATAAAACATGCTAACAAGGCTAATATTCGTTTTTACATTATGCCAGTCTCACTTTGCCTTAGATTTATTTACCACAATGTACATTGTAATATCCTATTAACGGTTTAATAAAAAAGAAATTCAATGATTGCATCACGTGTAGTTATCATGTTAGCTCTTTTGTCTTTTTACAACTAAGTATAGGGGGGGGGGGGATAAATGGCATAAAAATAACAAAAATAGAAAAATGATTACACCCACTTGAGGGATGGTGCATTGGGTCATTTGAGAGATATTTTGTATTGGAAGTTTGTACCTACCATGAAAAAAAACCCCCACCCCACCCAAAAAACTGGATGGATTATGCTTTTTAACCCTTTTCCCACATATTATACATTAAATAAAATCAAATATTAAATAAAATAAAGAGGGAAGGTTTTTGTTCACCTCTAAAATGTTGGACAGTTCTATTGTAATAAATATATAGTTACAAAATACATTTTGGCTTTTGGTTAATTCAAGCGAACCTTCAAAATCCTCAAGCAGATGATCACATTCAAAACACCTTCAGCAGTTCAACAGTCGCCACAGGTATGTTTTTTGCTTTTTCTTAAAAGGAAAATCATTATATTATAATTATATTATAATATTTAGCATATAGTATATTTTTATACATTACTTGAGCTTGGTTTGTGTCAGGTTCCAGCCCAATTAGTCACCTTTTAAAACATATTTTAGCTAGAAAGAGTAAGCTAGCTGGCTAGCTAGCTAGCTTAGTATAACAGTTGATTTGACTTGTTAGCTCATATTAGCCAGACAAATAGATTATACAGTAATAAATTAGTAGATATCACATACGTAATTGACACTGGCTTAGTCCTAGTGCTTGTAACTCAATCCAATTTAGAATATTCATCTTTTTCAGAAAAGTACATCATCATACATCATCAAGGATGGCAGAGCCCAGACACTCGTCCAAAACTAGATCTACTGGAAATATTTATAATGCAGATATCGACTTTCCTCCCTGCAAGAACTTCCAACCCCCTACAAAACTCCCTACACTGCAGAGTGTCATAAGCGTGATACGGTACCACCTAGAGAGGGGCAATGGGAGAGTGACTACAACCATGGCAGTACGGGAAGTGACAAAACAAGTACTACCATGACACTGTGTTCTGTGTCTCCTTGAGCACCATCCAGAGGAAGTTAGAAAGGATCTGGAAACAATTCAGTGAGGGCAAAAAGAGGTATGGACAGACAGGAAAAGAAGATTCACTTGCTGTAAAGCAATATAAAGAGTTATTTCATTCAAAGTCTGAGCTTTTTGATGTATTTGCTCATGACCCTAAACGGCGGCAATCACTGGAGAAAGAGTGGTGTGTAAGTATGAGTGAAATGGAACACAAATATTATGAAGATCAGAAGACTGAGCGGCGGATGTTCTGTTCCAAAGGTGTGGACCCAGTCTGGTACCATAGCATGATGCGAACCCAAAGGCTGAGGGAGAGGAGCGAAGAGTATCAGAGGAAGAGAGACCAGCAGTTCTCATATCAAACTCTGGATCAAATTACAGATATCTTGATGGAAACCGGTGAGATATCCAGCTCTAGCAGCGATGAAGAGAAGGTCACACCCCCAAAGCGATTGAGACAAATGTCTGAGAGTGACACACAGCTTCAAACTCAGGGAGAACAGAGTGAGGTGCGAGCAGAGCCCAAAGGGAGGAAACAAATCTTCAAAGATGTTGCTGACTTACATATGGATGAAGATCCACTACCACCAGAATTTCAACACATCCGATTGTCAGAGAGAAAGGTCCGGGAAGAATTCTATACAACTACAGCCAATCTGTCTGGAAAGGGACTTTCTATCTTTGAGGCGAGTACAGCTGTAATTGAAGTAGGCAACAGTATGTTTGGACGATGTTGGAAAAGTGCTGGGGAATGCGATGAGATTTTTGATAAGGATACCGTGCCAAGTACTAGAAGTATAAGGGCTGCTCTACAGCAAATTGAAGCACAAAGTCTGTGTCTAGTTGTGGAAAAGCTGGAGGAGGAGAAGGGGAAGGGTAAAATGATCACACATGCGTCGGACAGCACCACAAAGAAAGGTGTAGGAAAGTTCATGGTACAAGGGTTACATGTGGGTCAAGACAGCCCATTTCCTTTGCCAATATTACCAATCCATCAAGAAACAACAGAGGACATAGCAATGCAAGTGGATATGGGGTTCGAAATTACTGGCGTCAGTGATAGGAGTCAGTGTGGAGGATGTGTATAAACTTGTAGATGCTCATATGACTGACAGCACAGAGCACAACAAAGGGTTTTCAAAGCTGTTGGCAGAGATTTACAACTTGGAAACACCAGCAGGGCAGATCTTTTGTGGCACCCACACTACACTGGGCTTCAGCAGTGCAATGAATAAAGTGATGCGGTTGGTGGAGGCTGATATGAAGATGGAGCAAGTGCTTCAAAGTTTCATGGTGGATCTAGATGTAGACAGCAAGAATGCCAGTGTGGCTGGACAGGCACTGGACATGTGCCTTAAGTTGGTGGCTCCTGAGTACGCCCACAAACCCTGGAACCGCTATAAGGAATTTCTCCACTTCCTTGAGCAAAAGCAGGTATCCAGTGTGCTGTTTTCATACAAAGACAGCAGGTTTGGGTGTCTCTCAAGGGCAGCAGCCGTCCTAATACACCACTTTGGCCATCTAACAGAGTTCCTGAGCCAGAACCCTCACATTAACAACCGTCTGACCTGCCTCGTCAAAGAAGTGATGGAGCTTCCCTACTTAAAGGTGGTCCTCGTGGTGTTTGCCTGCCTGGGTGTGCACTTGGTGGAGCCTTTCTATGCCCGAACCATCGAGAAAGATGCTACCCATTCTCAGCTCAGGGAGTTCTACAAGGGACTCCACACAGGCTTGGGTCAGCCAATCAGTGACAGTTACACTGCATTCATAACACCTGAGTATCCTGTAGTGTCTGAAAAGCTTTTCAGTAGCGTAAAGAGGACCTACACAGAAGAGGTGCTGAACTCTGTGTCTGACGTGGCTGCTGAACACTTGGATGAGGTGAAGAAGCTGATTGCGCTCATGCAGCCCCACCTGAAGACAGTCCTGGCCAGGCAGAGAAGGGACTTTGGGATTGATGAGGAGACCTTCCCAATGGACAACCCGGTCAGTGAACAGGCTGGTGATATTGATGGCACCCCTGTGCACAACATTGGGATGGAGAGACAATGTGGCAAGGTGGACTACAGACTGAAGAAACTAGGTACACTGAATGCAGTGAGTAGGTCAATCATTTTACAAAAGAGCCAGGAACTTAGGAATGGACAGATTCCATCCTTCAGAGGATTCAAGGCAGCAGCCCAGGCAAAACGAGAGGTTGAACTAAATTGGAGTAAACTAATGAAGGCAAAATTCCAGTGTGGGGCAGAACAGAAACAGGAGATGGCTCAAAGAAAAGAGAGGACTAGACCTGCTGGACATTCTTAAATCTAGAGGTGGCCCCTTCACTGACAGCGGGGAAGTTGAGAAGTTGCTTGTGGATCAAAGTCTGAACAATATTGAAAAGCTGCAGAGAATGAAGCTTGAGGTTCAGTTTGCCAGAGAAAGTACCACACTTCTGCCTAAAGCTGATCCCATCTTCAGAATCCAGGTAACACTGGCCAGTGGGAAGAGGAGGATGAAAACAGCACAGGAGTTTGGAGATGCTCTCATGGCATACCTAGGCAAGAGGAGTGACCGAACCACACTGGAATATGAAAGATTCCAAGAAAGTCTTGAAAGACTAAGATCTGTACCTTAGGTTGAGTTTTGTATGTTAATAAAAGTATTTTCCAAAGTTTTCCAATTGAGTCGTTTAGTCTTAGTACACTATAGGAACAGTAAAAGCATAGAAAGGTTGTAACAGCCTAGAATGTATGGGGAATTGTTTTCAAGATAGAGTTACTTTGAGGTGTAACAAATCTTCTAATGATAGTGTTAAATAATTCCAAAATGAGTTTTGAAGCATTTATTTAACAGTATACAAGCAAACAGTAAGAATAGCTTATGCATACCGGGCGGAATGTGCAGAAAATTGCACTTTTGGGTTCTTTTTTTCATTTTCAAGGGGTGGGGGGTTATTTTCAAGATACAGAGATACGTTTGGTGTCAAATTTCCTGTATTTATAGTGTTAATCAAGTCCCAAATGGGTGCATTGAAATTTTGAAGTTGATGATTATCCCCCCCCCCTATAAGTATGTTCATAAAAGTACAATATTTATTGTATCTAACTTATTTTGATTGTACAGCATGTTATTATAACTTATTGCAATCATTACTAACATTTTAGTTTAGACTCTGTAGAAGTGGCCACAGTCCTGGTTCTGATGACCCAAGTCCTGTGTTTGGATCTGATTCTGAACATTATCAGCCCTCGATGGGGACAGTGAAGTACTGTGTGAAGGTCTTATGACAGAGTTTAAATGTTTTATATTTTATAATGATGATATAAATGATTAAACATTAGGCTACATCGAGCTTGATATAAATGTCATGTTAACATAGAATATAACTCGTATATAAACAAATTATCTATAGATTCTATTTATAGGTGTCAGTGCGAAAAATGTGCAATCATGTCTCAGGTTGAAGAGTTATTGCTGTCAGGAGAAAAACACTGTTTTTGCAAAGATGGAGGAATATAATTCAGAAAATGGACAGTGTCCTGCATCACAGCGTGAGGGGTTCGAGTCCCTTTGCTCAGACCCACTGGAGATGGCATGTACCTGAAATGGGTATAGAACCCATCTGTCAAATGAAGCATAAGGAAGAGATTGAGATTTTACAAACATTTCTACAAATGACTTTTGGCTAATAGAGGATTCATTTTCATTGTCAGGAGATTCAGGTCCACAGGACGTGGGAGACGTGTCCAGTGCTGGGACTCTGGGGAAGAAGAGAAGGTGCCATTACCGAATAACAGATACTTATCCTGATGCACATGTCGGGGCTCTGAACTACCAACCTTAAATTAGTTAGAATAGTAACCACAGAAATGCTTCAGTTTTATAAAAATTTGTTTTATTAAAATTAAAGTTGTTTTGTTCAGATCAGTGTGTTAATATTGCACAATGTTCATTAAGTTTGAATCTTGTTTTGTGCCGTCTTAAAGCATCTTCCTTTGTGACAGGTCAGAGGTGGTTTCTCAGCAGCCATGACACTTACAGACCATGTGTACATACACAGACCATCAATGGATCCATGTGGCCTAAAAGTAAAACAACTTTCATGAATACAAACAACACTGAGTCCTAAAGTATTAGATGTAAATGTTAATGTTGAAAACTTACTGTAAGAGGCTCCTTTAGTTTAGGATAAACCAAAGTGTGTCATCCTTAATTTGACCCGTTTGTATTTGAGGGTCAGAGTCAGAGGCCCCGTCCCAACACTCGCACTTCCACCTCGCGCCCCTCATTTGTGCGTTCCCGATAAAGTGTGCGAGTGCGTAGGGTCCAATCCCAATGTTTCAGGGAGGTCTTTGCACACTCTGGCGAAGGATATTGCCCATAATTCTTTGCAGTACACACCAAAACGACGGGAAAATGCATTTAAATATACATTTTGAAATATATCTGCAGTATGTGTGTAAATAAGTTTTGCTGTTACTTGGAAAGAAGCATAAACGTCTGATGAAGAATTACGGACATTGTGTTTTAACAATTTAATAACTTTTTAAAGCAAGCGTTTATATAACATTCAATTTAAACTTTACACATCGTACAATAATCTTAGAATGTATAAAAACTGACCAGATAGTTAGTTACCCACATTTAACTTAAAATTATACAGCTATCTCTAATTAAAAACAACTAATATAAATGTATTTTAACGTGTGTGAAGCAATTCATATTGTTTCCCAAAGGGTCAGACAAAGTTACCTTTAATGTTTATAAAGTTTAGGTCTGAAAATGACCATCTCTGACGAGTCGATGACGTAACCTGCCACTCAAACCCTGTGTGCACTTCAGACACATGCACACTTCATAGGAGGCCGTAGGGGGCAGTGTGGGTGTTGGGACTGGGCCGGAGTCAGAGTCAGCGTCAGGGGCAGGGTCTGGGGCAGGGTCTGGGGCAGAGTCAGGGTCTGGGGCAGGGGCAGGGTCAGGGGCAGGGTCAGGGTCAGAGTCAGAGTCAGAGTCAGGGGCAGAGTCAGGGGCAGGGGCAGAGTCAGGGGCAGAGTCAGGGGCAGAGTCAGGGGCAGGGGCAGAGTCCGGGGCAGCAGAGTCCGGGGCAGGGTCAGAGTCAGGGGCAGAGTCAGGGGCAGGGGCAGAGTCAGGGGCAGAGTCCGGGGCAGAGGCAGGGTCAGAGTCCGGGTCAGAGTCAGAGTCAGGGGCAGAGTCAGGGGCAGGGGCAGAGTCAGGGGCAGGGTCAGGGTCAGAGTCAGAGTCAGGGTCAGAGTCAGGGGCAGAGTCAGGGGCAGAGTCAGGGGCAGGGGCAGAGTCAGGGGCAGAGTCAGGGGCAGAGTCAGGGGCAGGGGCAGAGTCCGGGGCAGCAGAGTCCGGGGCAGGGTCAGAGTCAGGGGCAGAGTCAGGGGCAGAGTCAGGGGCAGGGGCAGAGTCAGGGGCAGAGTCCGGGGCAGAGGCAGGGTCAGAGTCCGGGTCAGAGTCAGAGTCAGGGGCAGAGTCAGGGGCAGGGGCAGAGTCCGGGGCAGGGTCAGGGGCAGGGGCAGGGTCAGGGGCAGGGTCAGGGGCAGGGGCAGAGTCAGAGTCAGGGGCAGAGTCAGGGGCAGGGGCAGAGTCAGGGGCAGGGTCAGGGTCAGAGTCAGAGTCAGGGTCAGAGTCAGGGGCAGAGTCAGGGGCAGAGTCAGGGGCAGAGTCAGGGGCAGAGTCAGGGGCAGAGTCAGGGGCAGAGTCCGGGGCAGCAGAGTCCGGGGCAGGGTCAGAGTCAGGGGCAGAGTCCGGGGCAGAGTCAGAGTCAGGGGCAGAGTCAGGGGCAGGGGCAGAGTCAGGGGCAGAGTCCGGGTCAGAGTCAGAGTCAGGGGCAGAGTCAGGGGCAGGGGCAGAGTCCGGGGCAGGGTCAGGGGCAGGGTCAGGGGCAGGGGCAGGGTCAGGGGCAGGGTCAGGGGCAGGGGCAGAGTCAGAGTCAGAGTCAGGGGCAGAGTCAGGGGCAGAGTCGGGGGCGGGGGCAGAGTCAGGGGCAGGGGCAGAGTCAGGGGCAGGGTCAGAGTCAGGGTCAGAGTCAGGGGCAGAGTCAGGGGCAGAGTCAGGGGATCAGAGTCAGGGGCAGAGTCAGGGGCAGAGTCAGGGGCAGAGTCCGGGGCAGGGTCAGAGTCAGGGGCAGAGTCCGGGTCAGAGTCAGAGTCAGGGGCAGAGTCAGGGGCAGGGGCAGAGTCCGGGGCAGGGTCAGGGGCAGGGTCTGGGGCAGGGGCAGAGTCAGGGGCAGAGTCCGGGGCAGGGTCTGGGGCAGGGTCTGGGGCAGGGGCAGAGTCAGAGTCAGAGTCAGGGTCAGAGTCAGGGGCAGAGTCAGGGGCAGGGGCAGAGTCAGGGGCAGGGTCAGGGTCAGAGTCAGAGTCAGGGTCAGAGTCAGGGGCAGAGTCAGGGGCAGGGGCAGAGTCAGGGGCAGAGTCAGGGGCAGAGTCAGGGGCAGAGTCAGGGGCAGGGGCAGAGTCCGGGGCAGCAGAGTCCGGGGCAGGGTCAGAGTCAGGGGCAGAGTCCGGGGCAGAGTCAGAGTCAGGGGCAGAGTCAGGGGCAGAGTCAGGGGCAGAGTCCGGGGCAGAGGCAGGGTCAGAGTCCGGGTCAGAGTCAGAGTCAGGGGCAGAGTCAGGGGCAGGGGCAGAGTCCGGGGCAGGGTCAGGGGCAGGGTCAGGGGCAGGGGCAGGGTCAGGGGCAGGGTCAGGGGCAGGGGCAGAGTCAGAGTCAGGGGCAGAGTCAGGGGCAGAGTCAGGGGCAGAGTCAGGGGCAGAGTCAGGGGCAGAGTCAGGGTCAGGGTCTGGGGCAGGGTCTGGGGCAGGGTCTGGGGCAGGGGCAGGGTCAGGGGAAGAGTCCGGGGCAGGGTCAGCTACATGCCTTCTGGGATGGTGGAGTACACTGTATGGAAATGGTTTCTGGCGGGGTCCAACTGAAACTCCTATCAATATAAAAATGTTTAGCTGAGTTAATTAATAAATGGCTGAATACATGAGTTATATATATATAATATATACATAAACATATATATATACATGTGTGTATGTGTATATAACTGTACCAACCTGTGCTCCTGTGCAGTGACTTGTTTCTGAATGTGGTTTGTGTGGATTGATCTTGAAGTGAAGGTGTAAAGTTTCCAATGCCATGGTCTTCATTTGAGGAGCTGATGTTGGAGGCACAGGGTCCATGACAGGAAGAAGGAGAGAATTTATCATCTGCACTAAAGAAAAGAACCTGTCACATTTGATCTGATCAACACCTGTCCATATCACACAAAACTGAATTTAATAAACTGAATTACTTGCCAATTGTGAGTCACTTGTTCTTGTTTCTACAGGTTTCATCAAGGTCCTTTAAGACTATTTATTTAAAAAACAATGCACATTTTACTGAATATTTCTTTAAGAAACTCCTGCATTTATTGAAATTGTGGGTAAACAGCAACAGACTAAACCAGGACCAAACCCATAACTAAAATCAGACAAAGCCAGAGCTAAAACAAGAATAAAATTAAGCCAACTAAACGGACTAAACCCTGACTAAGACCAGAACTAAACCAGGTCCAAACCAAGACTAAACCAAGCCATAGCCTGCCTACACACAAGTTACAACTTGTTACAACGTTCTATATTTATATTCAAGCTAACAATAAGAAGGACACACATTTAAAACTCTTAAAACGAGCCAATCAGATTTTAGTAAGAGTCTGTTTGAGAGTTTGTTCCTGGATTAGACCGGGACCTGCACACATGGACGTGCTTCACGACACCAGTGTGTCTAGGCCATGGATCTGTTGGGTCTAGGCCCACCGTTTGGGAACCACAGAGATCGAGGAATAGTAACAGCGGCTAGCTAACGTAGCGTTAGCGTATGACAGGCTGCAGTAACTAGACTTAGTATTGTTTTTGTGTGTTTGTGGCTGCCTAAAATAAGCCTATAAGTTTGGGTTTTAACTAAACAAATGAACAATAAAAAACCATAACTTACCCTGCGGTGTTCGAGCTTGTGCGTCTGTAAGTCCATCCATCCATTTTCTTCCGCTTTATCCGTTGCCGGGTCGCGGGGGCAGCAGTCTAAGCAGAGACGCCCAGACTTCCCTATCCACACACACTTCCTCCGGCTCGTCCGGGGGGACCCCAAGGCGTTCCCAGGCCAGCTGAGAGAAATAGTCTCTCCAGCGTGTCCTGGGTCTTCCCCGGGGCCTCCTCCCGGTGGGACGTGCCCGGAACACCTCCCCAGGGAGGTGTCCAGGAGGCATCCTGAACAGATGCCCGAGCCACCTCAACTGGTTCCTCTCGACGTGAAGGAGCAGCGGCTCTACTCCGAGCTCCTCCCATGTGACTGAGCTCCTCACCCTATCTCTAAGGGAGCAGCCACTCTGCGGAGGAAGCTCATTTCGACCGCTTGTATCCGCGATCTCGTTCTTTCGGTCATTACCCAAAGCTCATGACCATAGGTGAGGGAGGGGACGAAGATTGACCGGTAAATTGAGAGCTTTGCCTTTCGGCTCAGCTCCCTCTTTACCACAACGGTCCGATACAGCTCTGACTGCAGACGCTGCTCCCTCTTTACCACAACGGTCCGATACAGCGACCGCATCACTGCCCACGCTGCACCGATCCGCCTGTCAATCTCACGCTCCATCCTCCCCTCACTCGTGAACAAGACCCCGAGATACTTGAACTCCTCCACTTGAGGAAGGACCTCTCCACCCACCTGCAGAGGGCAAGGCACCTTTTTCCGGTCGAGCACCATGGCCTCGGATTTGGAGGTGCTGATTCTCATCCCAGCCGCTTCACACTCGGCTGCAAACCGTCCCAGTGCATGCTGCAGGTCCTGGTTCGTTGGAGCCAGCAGGACGACATCATCCGCAAAAAGTAGAGATGAAATCCTGTGGTTCCCGAACCGGACCCCCTCCGGCCCCTGGCTGCGCCTAGAGATTCTGTCCATAAATACAGTGAACAGAACCGGTGACAAAGGGCAGCCCTGGCGGAGGCCAACACTCACCGGGAACAGGTCTGACTTACTGCCGGCAATGCGAACACAGCTCTGGCTCCGGTCATACAGGGACCGAACAGCCCTCAGCAGAGGACCCCGGACCCCGTACTCCCGGAGGACCCCCCAAAGGACACCCCGGGGAACACGGTCGAACGCCTTCTCCAAATCCACAAAGCACATGTGGACAGGTTGGGCGAACTCCCATGAACCCTCGAGTATCCGATGGAGAGTATAGAGCTGGTCCAGTGTTCCGCGACCGGGACGAAAACCACACTGCTCCTCCTGGATCCGAGATCTGTAAGTCTGTAAGTGTGCGTCTGTAAGTGTGCGTCTGTAAGTGTGCGTCTGTAAGTGTGCGTCCGTCCGTGCGGGAGTCGGGGAAGCCTCGCTCGGCTCCTTTCCTTTGAAGACTGTTGGCATCAGGTTCAGCCCGTGTCTCGTCCCCAAAGACGCTGCCACTGAATTAATTGTGTTCAAACGAGAACGACAACACTGGATCTCCTGCAGCGGAGGGCGGCGGAGGGAGGCGGAGGGCGGCGGAGGGAGGCGGAGGGCGGAGGGAGGAGGAGGGAGGCGGAGGGCGGAGGGAGGAGGAGGAGGAGGGAGGCGGAGGGAGGTGGAGGGCGGCAGAGGAGGCGGAGGGCGGCGGAGGGCGGAGGGAGGAGGAGGGAGGCGGAGGGCGGCGGAGGGCGGAGGGAGGAGGAGGGAGGCGGAGGGAGGCGGAGGGCGGCAGAGGGAGGCGGAGGGCGGCGGAGGGCGGAGGGAGGAGGAGGGAGGCGGAGGGCGGCGGAGGGCGGCGGAGGGCGGCGGAGGGAGGCGGAGGGAGGCGGAGGGCGGCGGAGGACGGCGGAGGGCGGAGGGAGGAGGAGGGAGGCGGAGGGGGAGGCGGAGGGGGGGGGCGGCGGAGGGAGGCGGAGGGAGGCGGAGGGCGGCGGAGGACAGCGGAGGGAGGCGGAGGGCGGCGGAGGGCGGCGGAGGCGGGCGGCGGAGGGAGGCGGAGGGAGGCGGAGGGCGGCGGAGGACGGCGGAGGGCGGAGGGAGGAGGAGGGAGGCGGAGGGAGGCGGAGGGCGGCGGAGGGAGGCGGAGGGAGGCGGAGGGCGGCGGAGGACGGCGGAGGGCGGAGGGAGGCGGGAGGGCGGCGGAGGGAGGCGGAGGGCGGCGGAGGGAGGCGGAGGGAGGCGGAGGGCGGCGGAGGGCGGCGGAGGGAGGCGGAGGGAGGAGGGCGGCGGAGGGAGGGGAGGGCGGAGGGAGGCGGAGGGCGGCGGAGGGCGGCGGAGGGAGGCGGAGGGAGGCGGAGGGCGGAGGGAGGCGGAGGGCGGCGGAGGGAGGCGGGCGGGCGGCGGAGGGAGGCGGAGGGCGGCGGAGGGAGGCGGAGGGAGGAGGAGGAGGCGGAGGGCGGCGGAGGGCGGCGGAGGGCGGCGGAGGGCGGAGGGGAGGAGGAGGGAGGCGGAGGGCGGCGGAGGGCGGCGGAGGGAGGAGGAGGGAGGCGGAGGGCGGCGGCGGAGGACGGCGGAGGGCGGAGGGAGGCGGAGGGCGGCGGAGGGCGGCGGAGGGAGGCGGAGGGAGGCGGGCGGAGGGCGGCGGAGGGCGGAGGGAGGCGGAGGGCGGCGGAGGGCGGCGGAGGGAGGCGGAGGGAGGCGGAGGGCGGCGGAGGGAGGCGGAGGGCGGCGGAGGGAGGCGGAGGGCGGAGGGAGGAGGAGGAGGCGGAGGGGAGGCGGAGGGGGGCGGAGGGGGGAGGAGGAGGAGGGAGGCGGGGGCGGCGGAGGGCGGCGGAGGGCGGAGGGAGGCGGAGGGAGGGGGGGGGGCGGAGGGAGGCGGAGGGAGGCGGAGGGCGGAGGGAGGCGGAGGGAGGCGGAGGGCGGCGGAGGGAGGCGGAGGGCGGCGGAGGGAGGCGGAGGGAGGCGGAGGGAGGAGGAGGGCGGCGGAGGGCGGCGGAGGGCGGAGGGAGGAGGAGGGAGGCGGAGGGCGGCGGAGGGAGGCGGAGGGCGGCGGAGGGAGGCGGAGGGCGGAGGAGGGAGGTGGAGGGCGGCGGAGGGAGGAGGCGGAGGGGGAGGAGGGAGGCGGAGGGCGGCGGAGGGCGGAGGGAGGAGGAGGGAGGGGAGGGGGCGGAGGGCGGCGGAGGACGGCGGAGGGCGGAGGGAGGAGGAGGGAGGCGGAGGGAGGCGGAGGGCGGCGGAGGGCGGAGGGAGGTCCAATGAAGACGCGTCTGGTCCACAGGTCTGGTCCACAGGTCTGGTCCACAGGTCTGGTCCACAGGTCTGGTCCACAGGTCTGGTCCACAGGTCTGGTCCACAGGTCTGGTCCACAGGTCTGGTCCACAGGTCTGGTCCACAGGTCTGGTCCACAGGTCTGGTCCACAGGTCTGGTCCACAGGTGGTGGAGTTAGGGTTACGTGTTGTGTACGTGTAGAGTGTTCGAACACGGGTCATTCATCTACGTCACACGTCAGGGGCGTGTTTTTAACTGCTGATTTCTAAAAAGTAATAATTTACATGTTTCTCTTTTTTCTCCCAAAATGTTTATATGGCTTTAACTTTACAAAAACTGCAATTGGTAAAATACAATTCTAGTACTACTTTAACTACATTTAGTTCCATGTTGGGTTTGAAAATCCGCCTGAGAATGAGCTGCGGTCGGTCCAACGATGTGACATCAGTCTGCAGCGCAACAGTGACCGAGTGGTTAGCACTCTCCACTCTCAGAAAGAAGGTTCTGGGTTCGAATCCCGGTCAGAACAGTGCCTTTCTGAGTGTAGTTTGCATGTTCTCCCCGTGTCTGCAGTTTCCCCTACCACTAAAAAAATATTAGGGGGAGCCAGAGTGTGTTAGCCAGAGTGTGTTAGCCAGAGTGTGTTAGCCAGAGTGTGTTAGCCAGAGTGTGTTAGCCATAGACTGTATATATTAACGGACAGAGCCTATCTCCGCCGTTCTAACTAATGGGCCAAAAAATGTGCTCTACTGGAGCAATCCAAGATGGCCGCGAGTGGTCCCGCCCACAAGAAAATTGTGGAAAAACACATCTGTGCATGCGTCAACCGGCGCAGCTCCATTCATTTGAACGAGAGACTTCTAAAGTCCACAGCGACTAAACTAGACTGGTCCAGAACACTCAGCATTGACACACATGTGGAACGGAGCTTTGGGCCAAGAGACAACTTTCGTCCATCCTGTAAAGACGTTTTCCAGAGGTCTGCTAATGCTATATGTTAGCATTGGCTAATTCTACTTCTGGGTCCACCCCCACAGGCCCGGGGTGGTACTGCAGCATGTCAGCGCACGTCATTTTGGAGCTGGGACCCGCCCACACTGGTGTTTGCCAGTGCGTGTTTGCCAGTGCGTGTTAGCCAGTGCGTGTTAGCCAGTGCGTGTTTGCCAGTGCGTGTTTGCCAGTGCGTGTTTGCCAGTGCGTGTTTGCCAGTGCGTGTTTGCCAGTGCGTGTTTGCCAGTGCGTGTTTGCCAGTGCGTGTTTGCCAGTGCGTGTTTGCCAGTGCGTGTTTGCCAGTGCGTGTTTGCCAGTGCGTGTTTGCCAGTGCGTGTTTGCCAGTGCGTGTTTGCCAGTGCGTGTTTGCCAGTGCGTGTTTGCCAGTGCGTGTTCGCCAGTGCGTGTTCGCCAGTGCGTGTTTGCGAGTGCGTGTTTGCGAGTGCGTGTTTGCCAGTGCGTGTTTGCCAGTGCGTGTTTTGCCAGTGCGTGTTTGCCAGTGCGTGTTTGCCAGTGCGTGTTTGCGAGTGCGTGTTTGCCAGTGCGTGTTTGCGAGTGCGTGTTTGCGATGCGTGTGTTTGCCAGTGCGTGTTTGCCAGTGCGTGTTTGCCAGTGCGTGTTTGCCAGTGCGTGTTTGCCAGTGCGTGTTTGCGAGTGCGTGTTTGCCAGTGCGTGTTTGCCAGTGCGTGTTTGCCAGTGCGTGTTTGCCAGTGCGTGTTTGCCAGTGCGTGTTTGCCAGTGCGTGTTTGCCAGTGCGTGTTTGCCAGTGCGTGTTTGCCAGTGCGTGTTTGCCAGTGCGTGTTTGCCAGTGCGTGTTTGCCAGTGCGTGTTTGCCAGTGCGTGTTTGCCAGTGCGTGTTTGCCAGTGCGTGTTTGCCAGTGCGTGTTTGCAGTGCGTGCCAGTGCGTGTTTGCCAGTGCGTGTTTGCCAGTGCGTGTTCGCCAGTGCGTGTTCGCCAGTGCGTGTTCGCCAGTGCGTGTTTGCGAGTGCGTGTTTGCGAGTGCGTGTTTGCCAGTGCGTGTTTGCCAGTGCGTGTTTGCCAGTGCGTGTTTGCCAGTGCGTGTTTGCCAGTGCGTGTTTGCCAGTGCGTGTTTGCCAGTGCGTGTTTGCCAGTGCGTGTTTGCCAGTGCGTGTTTGCGAGTGCAATTTTGCCAGTGCGTGTTTGCCAGTGCGTGTTTGCGAGTGCGTGTTTGCCAGTGCGTGTTTGCGAGTGTGTGTTTGCCAGTGCGTGTTTGCAAGTGCGTGTTTGCCAGTGCGTGTTTGCCAGTGCGTGTTTGCCAGTGCGTGTTTGCCAGTGCGTGTTTGCGAGTGCGTGTTTGCCAGTGCGTGTTTGCCAGTGCGTGTTTGCCAGTGCGTGTTTGCCAGTGCGTGTTTGCAGTGCGTGTTTGCGAGTGCGTGTTTGCGAGTGCGTGTTTGCCAGTGCGTGTTTGCCAGTGCGTGTTTGCGAGTGCGTGTTTGCCAGTGCGTGTTTGCCAGTGCGTGTTTGCCAGTGCGTGTTTGCCAGTGCGTGTTTGCCAGTGCGTGTTTGCGAGTGCGTGTTTGCCAGTGCGTGTTTGTGAGTGCGTGTTTGCGAGTGTGTGTTTGCGAGTGTGTGTTTGCCAGTGCGTGTTTGCCAGTGCGTGTGTTTGCGAGTGCGTGTGTTTGCGAGTGCGTGTTTGCCAGTGCGTGTTTGCCAGTGTGTGTTTGCGAGTGTGTGTTTGCCAGTGCGTGTTTGCCAGTGCGTGTGTTTGCGAGTGCGTGTGTTTGCGAGTGCGTGTTTGCCAGTGCGTGTTTGCCAGTGTGTGTTTGCGAGTGCGTGTTTGCGAGTGTGTGTTTGCGAGTGCGTGTTTGCCAGTGCGTGTGTTTGCGAGTGCGTGTTTGCCAGTGCGTGTTTGCGAGTGCGTGTTTGCGAGTGCGTGTTTGCGAGTGCGTGTTTGCGAGTGCGTGTTTGCGAGTGCGTGTTTGCGAGTGTGTGTTTGCCAGTGCGTGTGTTTGCGAGTGCGTGTGTTTGCGAGTGCGTGTTTGCCAGTGCGTGTTTGCCAGTGCGTGTTTGCCAGTGCGTGTTTGCCAGTGCGTGTTTGCGAGTGCGTGTTTGCCAGTGCGTGTTTGCCAGTGTGTGTTTGCGAGTGCGTGTTTGCGAGTGTGTGTTTGCGAGTGCGTGTTTGCCAGTGCGTGTGTTTGCGAGTGCGTGTTTGCCAGTGCGTGTTTGCCAGTGCGTGTTTGCGAGTGTGTGTTTGCGAGTGTGTGTGCGAGTGTGTTTGCGAGTGCGTGTTTGCCAGTGCGTGTTTGCCAGTGCGTGTTTGCCAGTGCGTGTTTGCCAGTGCGTGTTTGCCAGTGCGTGTTTGCGAGTGCGTGTTTGCCAGTGCGTGTTTGCGAGTGCGTGTTTGCGAGTGCGTGTTTGCGAGTGCGTGTTTGCGAGTGCGTGTTTGCGAGTGCGTGTTTGCGAGTGTGTGTTTGCCAGTGCGTGTGTTTGCGAGTGCGTGTGTTTGCGAGTGCGTGTTTGCCAGTGCGTGTTTGCCAGTGCGTGTTTGCCAGTGCGTGTTTGCCAGTGCGTGTTTGCGAGTGCGTGTTTGCCAGTGCGTGTTTGCCAGTGTGTGTTTGCGAGTGCGTGTTTGCGAGTGTGTGTTTGCGAGTGCGTGTTTGCCAGTGCGTGTGTTTGCGAGTGCGTGTTTGCCAGTGCGTGTTTGCCAGTGCGTGTTTGCGAGTGTGTGTTTGCGAGTGTGTGTTTGCGAGTGCGTGTTTGCGAGTGCGTGTTTGCCAGTGCGTGTTTGCCAGTGCGTGTTTGCCAGTGCGTGTTTGCCAGTGCGTGTTTGCCAGTGCGTGTTTGCGAGTGTGTGTTTGCGAGTGCGTGTTTGCCAGTGTGTGTTTGCGAGTGCGTGTTTGCGAGTGCGTGTTTGCGAGTGCGTGTTTGCGAGTGCGTGTTTGCGAGTGCGTATTTGCGAGTGCGTGTTTGCCAGTGCGTGTTTGCCAGTGCGTGTTTGCCAGTGCGTGTTTGCAAGTGCGTGTTTGCCAGTGCGTGTTTGCGAGTGCGTGTTTGCCAGTGCGTGTTTGCCAGTGCGTGTTTGCCAGTGCGTGTTTGCCAGTGCGTGTTTGCCAGTGCGTGTTTGCCAGTGCGTGTTTGCCAGTGCGTGTTTGCCAGTGCGTGTTTGCCAGTGCGTGTTTGCCAGTGCGTGTTTGCCAGTGCGTGTTTGCCAGTGCGTGTTTGCCAGTGCGTGTTTGCCAGTGCGTGTTTGCGAGTGCGTGTTTGCGAGTGTGTGTTTGCGAGTGCGTATTTGCGAGTGCGTGTTTGCCAGTGCGTGTTTGCCAGTGCGTGTTTGCCAGTGCGTGTTTGCGAGTGCGTGTTTGCGAGTGCGTGTTTGCGAGTGCGTGTTTGCGAGTGCGTTTTTGCGAGTGCGTGTTTGCCAGTGCGTGTTTGCGAGTGTGTGTTTGCGAGTGCGTATTTGCGAGTGCGTGTTTGCCAGTGCGTGTTTGCCAGTGCGTGTTTGCGAGTGCGTGTTTGCGAGCGTGTTGCGAGTGTTGTTTGCGAGTGCGTGTTTGCGAGTGCGTGTTTGCCAGTGCGTGTTTGCCAGTGCGTGTTTGCCAGTGCGTGTTTGCCAGTGCGTGTTTGCGAGTGCGTGTTTGCGAGTGCGTGTTTGCGAGTGCGTGTTTGCGAGTGCGTGTTTGCCAGTGCGTGTTTGCGAGTGCGTGTTTGCCAGTGTGTGTTTGCGAGTGCGTGTTTGCGAGTGCGTGTTTGCGAGTGCGTATTTGCGAGTGCGTGTTTGCCAGTGCGTGTTTGCCAGTGCGTGTTTGCGAGTGCGTGTTTGCCAGTGCGTGTTTGCGAGTGCGTGTTTGCGAGTGCGTGTTTGCCAGTGCGTGTTTGCGAGTGCGTGTTTGCCAGTGCGTGTTTGCCAGTGCGTGTTTGCCAGTGCGTGTTTGCCAGTGCGTGTTTGCCAGTGCGTGTTTGCCAGTGCGTGTTTGCGAGTGCGTGTTTGCGAGTGCGTGTTTGCGAGTGCGTGTTTGCGAGTGCGTGTTTGCGAGTGCGTGTTTGCGAGTGTGTGTTTGCGAGTGCGTGTTTGCCAGTGCGTGTTTGCGAGTGCGTGTTTGCGAGTGCGTGTTTGCCAGTGCGTGTTTGCGAGTGTGTGTTTGCCAGTGCGTGTTTGCGAGTGCGTGTTTGCGAGTGCGTGTTTGCGAGTGCGTGTTTGCGAGTGCGTGTTTGCGAGTGTGTGTTTGCCAGTGCGTGTTTGCGAGTGTGTGTTTGCCAGAGCGTGTTTGCGAGTGCGTGTTTGCGAGTGCGTGTTTGCCAGTGCGTGTTTGCGAGTGCGTGTTTGCGAGTGCGTGTTTGCGTGTTTGCGAGTGTGTGTTTGCCAGTGCGTGTTTGCGAGTGCGTGTTTGCGAGTGCGTGTTTGCGTGTTTGCGAGTGTGTGTTTGCCAGTGCGTGTTTGCGAGTACGTGTTTGCGAGTGCGTGTTTGTGAGTGCGACTGTGGGATAACGGATGCTAATGATGCTAAGCTACATTGTGGAGTGATGTGTTCAGTACCATGTACTGTGCCAACCGAATAAACAACACATAACACATTTCTGAGAAGCGTCGACACAGATCTCACCTAAAAGTGCAGCAAAAACAGCGAAGGACGAGAGCTGCACGTTTAAACGCTTCGCGACTTCATGAAGCAGAAATCGAGTGGTGGTGATTCTTTGGCCGTCGTGGCTCAGTTTGAGAGCGTGGGAACTGAAGTAATGACAGATGCTGCTGAGAGCGTAGTCCGAGTCACGGCCCATCACTCCGTGGAAGCCCCCGCTCCGGAACAACGTCAGGACTTCCAAGTGGTGGTCCTCCACCGTCTGCACCACCTGCACCGACAGAAGATACACTTTAGAGATCCACAAAGGAGACGTTTATCTCTAACTGTTAAAGATACACTTTAGAGATCCACAAAGGAGACGTTTATCTCTAACTGTTAAAGATACACTTTAGAGATCCACAAAGGAGACGTTTATCTCTAACTGTTAAAGATACACTTTAGAGATCCAAAGGGAGACGTTTATCTCTAACTGTTAAAGATACACTTTAGAGATCCACAAGGAGACGTTTATCTCTTTATCTCTAACTGTTAAAGATACACTTTAGAGATCCACAAAGGAGACGTTTATCTCTAACTGTTAAAGATACACTTTAGAGATCCACAAAGGAGACGTTTATCTCTAACTGTTAAAGATACACTTTAGAGATCCACAAAGGAGACGTTTATCTCTAACTGTTAAAGATACACTTTAGAGATCCACAAAGGAGAGGCAGAGAGAGGGGTTCTCTCTTTGACACTTTTCTGTCAGAAAAAGCTGATTTAAAACATGCGACAGAAGCCGATAATACATGATGTTATCATGTTTCACACACTGACTCTGAGGACGTTTTTATGTCACAGTTAAACTTTATACATCACTCATATGAAGAGACCAGGAGGAGACCAGGAGGAGACCAGGAGGAGACCAGGAGGAGACCAGGAGGAGACCAGGAGGAGACCAGGACGAGACCAGGACGAGACCAGGACGAGACCAGGACGAGACCAGGACGAGACCAGGACGAGACCAGGACGAGACCAGGAGGAGACCAGGAGGAGACCAGGAGGAGACCAGGACGAGACCAGGACGAGACCAGGAGGAGACCAGGAGGAGACCAGGAGGAGACCAGGACGAGACCAGGACGAGACCAGGACGAGACCAGGACGAGACCAGGACGAGACCAGGACGAGACCAGGACGAGACCAGGACGAGACCAGGACGAGACCAGGAGGAGACCAGGACGAGACCAGGACGAGACCAGGACACAGAGGGAGTAGACCAGGAGGTGACCCAGGTACAGTCTACAGTCCACAGGTACAGTGGTACCTATGATACAGAGGTACCTATGATACAGAGGTACCTATGATACAGAGGTACCTATGATACAGTGGTACCTATGATACAGTGGTACCTATGATACAGTGGTACCTATGATACAGTGGTACCTATGATACAGAGGTACCTATGATACAGTCACTTACCCCGAGGCCGAGTGTGAGAATTGCCAGGCGGATGCAATGAGGGAGGCAGACGGGAGGCAGGAACCAGGCCTTGGGGGGCGGGGTGCCTTTGCGGAGGACATGGGACAGGATCCTCTGTGAGGTCTGCCGCTCGGTCTCCTGCCGCTTCACCCAGTCCCGAAGGCGGCTTCTCTCCAGGGCGCCATTAAAACAAACCACAAAGTGAATGTTTGCAGAGAAAGAGGCCTCGGACAGAGCAGAGAGGAAGCTCAGCATGCGGTCCCACTGGCCCCCGCACACCCAGTCCGTGTAGGAGCCTCCGTACAGCCGCTGCAGGCAGCTCTGCGCATCCAGCAGGAGGCGCAGAGGAGCGAGAGGACCATGGAGGGTCTGGGGGCCTCCGACCAGGGCGCTCTGGGCCAACTTCTGTAGCTCCACAGGCACCACTGCTCTGGGGCAGTGCTTCTCCAGGTACTCCTGCAGGCCCTGCACGCCCATGGTGGAGGAACCAGGTGGAGAGAACCAGGTGGAGGTGAGAGGAGACAGAGAGGCGGAACTCTGGAGCTAATGTTATCACAGAGTCCCCCCTCGGCTGCAGAGGAGGTGAGTGTGGTGTTTTGGAGGCTGACATGTGCCCCTGTGTCGGTGCCACGCCTCCTCCTCCTGCAGCTCAGTCACTGCTGCAGCACTGCCCCCTGCTGGCTCATGTGAGACACACCACATTATCCTCATGGAAACGGTGAAGGAAGAGATCCCTAAGACTTGAAATGTAAAAGTATCGTACCACATCTTGAAGATAATACTTAATGGCACCTGAAGTCAAAGTTTTATTAAAAGCTCTGTTTCTGGTTTTCCACAAAGTAATCACAGCTAACTGTCTCAAACACATTCCACTTTGCACCAATCATCTCTGATCTCATTCTGACTCATTTTACCATCTTAATATTTATTATGTTTATTTTTTCTGTCCTTTTCTAGTCTCTCTTTTTTGGATTCTACACAGCATCAAAACAGACACAATGTCAAACTACTACAGTCACAGTCACTACAATACAATAGAATGTATTGTTGTATAGCCCTAGGTCACAACAGAAGTCATCTCAGAGACTTAACAAAACCATTGAAATCACCAACACAGGTCAGAGAATCAACAGTTAAAACACATGAAGAATATAAAGCACACACAGAAGAAAATGTCCATACATGTTGTAGAATGCTAAAGTGTCCTGATCATCACCAATCCTTTCTGTTGGACACTAACTGTCCAACAAGACCCTCCTGCATCGACAAGGAAAAACTCTTAAAAAACCCAGTGGGAAAAAGTGAGAAACCTTGGAGGAGAACTAGGGAAACCCACAGGGAGGGAGACCCATATGAGAAAGGGATCCGCTCCTCCGGACGGACAGACTAATGATCCAGGACCTAAGCTAGCTACAGGACGTGGACCAGTGGACGCTGAACGTGGACAGGTCCGGTGCAGGACCGAAGCACTCCCAGGCGGGTCGGGCGGGGCAGTCCGCAGGTGTAGATGGAAGAGGCCAGGCTCAGAGATCCCGTCATCGTACCATGAAACAGACAATGGGACAACGGGTGAATAGCAATGAACAAACTACAGTCAGAATCCTAAAAATGCTAAACAGGTAAAGTAGGAAGGAGAGGATAGTGCTCAAGTTACCATACTTCTCCAGCAGGGGGCGCCCTATGCAGCTTGACTGACAGTCTGAGGAGTTTAGCCTTCCCTGAGTCTTACCTTCCTAACCATATGCTAAACTAAAGAGGACTGTTTTAAACCTAGCCTTGAATAAAGAGAGTGTATCTGAAAGGAGGCGAGACAGCAGCAGCCACGGCTAGGCTAGCCTAGGCTAGCCCAGGCTACAGCACCAAGACTCATGGATTGCACACCAGGTGTGCCAAACCGATCCAAGCAAACCTAATTATATATTATATATACTATATATCATATGTATCATACATACCATATATATCATATATAATACATAATATAACATAACACAATACATACCATAATACATATATTGTATAATATATAACATAATATATAACACAATACAGCATATATTTTTTATTATTTATTTATTTATTTATTTAGAGGAAAAGCCCTTGAGATGAATCACTCGTTTTCGAGGGGGTCCTCAAGTTTTCACAAGGAACAGATACAGCCATAACAGATGAAATAAGACAATAAGAAAATCATTAAAAAAATTTTATATAATTATACCACCAGATATATATAATACAGTCTCCATATATTATATATTACCCTTATTATATGCTAAATTAAAAGTAGAGTGCTTTAAGCCTGGCCTTGAATGTGGAGACAGTATCTGCTTCCTTAACATAAATGAAGCTGATTCCACAGTAAAGGAGCTTGGAGCTAAATGCTCTGCCACCAACAGTGACCTTTGAGACCTTAGGGACCACCAGACGTCTGGCGTTTTGTGAGCGCAACGCTCGACCTGGTTGATACGACACTAACGTGTCTTGGAGATAAGAAGGAGCCAAGCCATTTATGGCTTTATATGTTAAGAGAAGGATTTTAAACTTTATTCTGTACTCCACAGGGAGCCAGTGGAGTGATTTTAACACCGGAGTTATGTGCTCCCTCCTTTTGGTACCTGTTAAGATCCTAGCTGCTGTATTCTGAACGAGCTGGAAGCTCTTCAAAGAGGCTTTAGGGCACGCTGCCAGTAAAGCGTTACAGTCGAGCCTTGAGGTGACAAACGCGTGAATGAGTTTTTCCGCGTCACTTTTAGGAAGGAAATTCCTAATTTTAGCGATGTTCCGTAAGTGGAAGTACGCCGTTTTAGTTGCTTGGCTTATATAAGCCTTGAAGGAGAGTTCTTGGTCAAAAATGACTCCAAGATTCCTCACAGTGTTACTGGGTATAATACTGACATTATCAGAGTGATTATCTGGTTAGTGAGGGAGTCACGCAGGCGCTTCGGACCGAGTAGGATCACTTCTGTCTTCTCCGGGTTGAGAAGTAGGAAGTTAAGAGTCATCCACGTTTTAAGGTCCTTTATGCAGCACTGAGCTTTTCCAGCTGATCTGTCTGATTTGGCTTCATCGACAGATAAAGCTGTGTGTCATCTGCATAGCAGTGGAAATTAATTCCATGCTTTTTGATAATGTTTCCTAACGGCAGTATGTAGAGAGTAAAAAGAATCGGTCCGAGTACCGAACCCTGCGGCACACCGAATTCTACTCCAGAATAAGGCGACGAGTTCTGATTTACGTTGACGAAGTGATACCGATCTGATAAATAGGATTTAAACCAGCCAAGGGCTGTTCCTCTAAGACCTATATCACATTCTAGCCTCTGCAGTAGAATGCTGTGGTCTATTGACTACAGTCACTACAGTCACAGTCACTACAGTCACTACAGTCACAGTCACTACAGTCACTACAGTCACTACAGTCATTACAGTCACTACGGTCACTACAGTCACTACAGTCACAGTCACTACAGTTACTACAGTCACAGTCACTACAGTCACAGTTACTATAGTCACAGTCACTACAGTCACAGTCACTACAGTCACAGTTACTACAGTCACAGTTACTATAGTCACAGTCACTACAGTTACTACAGTCACAGTTACTACAGTCACATTACTATAGTCACAGTCACTACAGTCACAGTCACTAGAGTCACTACAGTTACTACAGTCACAGTCACTACAGTAACAGTCACTACAGTCACAGTCACTACAGTCTCTACAGTCACTACAGTTACTACAGTCACAGTCACACTACGTCACACAGTTACTACAGTCACAGTCACTACAGTTACTACAGTCACAGTCACTACAGTCACAGTTACTACAGTAACAGTCACTACAGTCACAGTCACTAGAGTCACTACAGTTACTACAGTCACAGTCACTACAGTAACAGTCACTACAGTCACAGTCACTACAGTCTCTACAGTCACTACAGTTACTACAGTCACAGTCACTACAGTCACTACAGTTACTACAGTCACAGTCACTACAGTTACTACAGTCACAGTCACTACAGTCACAGTCACTACAGTAACAGTCACTACAGTCACAGTCACTACAGTCACAGTCACTACAGTAACAGTCACTACAGTCACAGTCACTACAGTCACAGTCACTACAGTCACAGTCACTACAGTCACAGTTACTACAGTCACAGTCACTACAGTCACTACAGTTACTACAGTCACTACAGTCACTACAGTCACAGTCACTACAGTCACAGTCACTACAGTCACTACAGTTACTACAGTCACTACAGTCACTACAGTTACTACAGTCACAGTCACTACAGTCACTACAGTTACTACAGTCACAGTCACTACAGTCACTACAGTCTCAGTCACTACAGTCACTACAGTCACAGTCACTACAGTCGCTACAGTTACTACAGTCACTACAGTCACAGTCACTACAGTCACTACAGTCACTACAGTCACTGCAGTTACTACAGTCACTACAGTCACTGCAGTTACTACAGTCACAGTCACTACAGTCACTACAGTCTCAGTCACTACAGTCACTACAGTCACAGTCACTACAGTCGCTACAGTTACTACAATCACTACAGTCACTACAGTTACTACAGTCACAGTCACTACAGTCACTACAGTCACTACAGTCACTACAGTCACTACAGTCTCTACAGTCTCTACAGTCACTACAGTCACTACAGTTACTACAGTCACAGTCACTACAGTCACAGTCACTACAGTTACTACAGTCACAGTCACTACAGTCACTACAGTCACAGTCACTACAGTCACTACAGTCACTGCAGTTACTACAGTCACAGTCACTACAGTCACTACAGTCTCAGTCACTACAGTCACTACAGTCACAGTCACTACAGTCGCTACAGTTACTACAATCACTACAGTCACTACAGTCACTACATTCACTACAGTCACAGTCACTACAGTCACAGTCACTACAGTCACTACAGTCACTACAGTCACTACAGTTACTACAGTCACAGTCACTACAGTCACTACAGTCTCAGTCACTACAGTCACTACAGTCAATACAGTTACTACAGTCACTACAGTCAGTCACTACAGTTACAACAGTCACAGTCACTACAGTCACAGTTACTACAGTCACAGTCACTACAGTCACAGTCACTACAGTCACTACAGTCACTAAAGTCACTACAGTTACTACAGTCACAGTCACTACAGTCACTGCAGTCACAGTCACTACAGTCACTACAGTCACTACAGTCACAGTCACTACAGTCACTACAGTCACAGTCACTACAGTCACTACAGTCACAGTCACTACAGTCACTACGGTCACAGTCACTACAGTCACTACAGTTACTACAGTCACAGTCACTACAGTCACTGCAGTCACAGTCACTACAGTCACTACAGTCAATACAGTTACTACAGTCACTACAGTCAGTCACTACAGTTACTACAGTCACAGTCACTACAGTCACAGTTACTACAGTCACAGTCATTACAGTCACAGTCACTACAGTCACTACAGTCACTAAAGTCACTACAGTTACTACAGTCACAGTCACTACAGTCACTACAGTCACAGTCACTACAGTTACTACAGTCACAGTCACTACAGTCACAGTAAATACAGTTACTACAGTCACAGTCACTACAGTCACAGTCACTACAGTCACTACAGTCACAGTCACTACAGTCTCAGTCACTACAGTCACTACAGTCACAGTCACTACAGTCACTACAATTACTACAGTCACTACAGTCTCAGTCACTACAGTCACTACAGTCACAGTCACTACAGTCACTACAATTACTACAGTCACTACAGTCACTACAGTCACTACAGTTACTACAGTCACTACAGTCACTACATTCACTACAGTCACAGTCACTACAGTTACTACAGTCACTACAGTCACAGTCACTACTACAGTCACTACAGTCACAGTCACTACAGTTACTACAGTCACTACAGTCTCAGTCACTACAGTCACTGCAGTCACAGTCACTACAGTCACTACAGTCACAGTCACTACAGTTACTACAGTCACTACAGTCACAGTCACTACAGTCACTACAGTCACAGTCACTACATTCACTACAGTCACAGTCACTACAGTTACTACAGTCACTACAGTCACTACAGTCAATACAGTTACTACAGTCATTACAGTCACAGTCACTACAGTCACAGTCACTACAGTCAGTCACTACAGTTACTACAGTCACAGTCACTACAGTCACAGTTACTACAGTCACAGTCACTACAGTCACAGTCACTACAGTCACTACAGTCACTACAGTTACTACAGTCACAGTCACTACAGTCACTACAGTCTCAGTCACTACAGTCACAGTCACTACACAGTCACTACAGTTACTACAGTCACAGTCACTACAGTCACAGTCACTACAGTCACAGTCACTACAGTCACAGTCACTACAGTCACTACAGTCACTACAGTTACTACAGTCACAGTCACTACAGTCACTACAGTCACTACAGTTACTACAGTCACAGTCACTACAGTCACTACAGTCTCAGTCACTACAGTCACAGTCACTACAGTTACTACAGTCACTACAGTCACTACAGTTACTATAGTCACTACAGTCACAGTCACTACATTCACTACAGTCACAGTCACTACAGTTACTACAGTCACTACAGTCACTACAGTCACTATAGTCAATACAGTTACTACAGTCACTACAGTCACAGTCACTACAGTTACTACAGTCACAGTCACTACAGTCACTACAGTCACTGCAGTCACAGTCACTACAGTTACTACAGTCACTACAGTCACTACAGTTACTACAGTCACTACAGTCACAGTCACTACATTCACTACAGTCACAGTCACTACAGTCACTACAGTTACTACAGTCACTACAGTCACTACAGTCAATACAGTTACTACAGTCACTACAGTCACAGTCACTACAGTCACAGTCACTACAGTCACAGTCACTACAGTCACAGTCACTACAGTCACTAAAGTCACTACAGTCACAGTTACTACAGTCACAGTCACAGTCACTACACAGTCACAGTCACTACAGTTACTACAATCACTACAGTCACTACAGTCACTACAGTCACTACAGTTACTACAGTCACTACAGTTACTACAGTTACTACAGTCACAGTCACTACAGTCACTACAGGTACTACAGTCACTACAGTCACAGTCACTACAGTTACTACAGTCACAGTCACTACAGTCACTACAGTTACTACAGTCACAGTCACTACTGTCACAGTCACTACAGTTACTACAGTTACAGTCACTACAGTCACTACAGTTACAGTCACTACAGTCACTACAGTCACTACAGTCACTACAGTCTCTACAGTCACTACAGTCACTACAGTCTCTACAGTCACTACAGTCACTACAGTCACAGTCACTACAGTCACAGTTACTACAGTCACTACAGTCACTACAGTCACTACAGTCACTACAGTTACTACAGTCACTACAGTCACTGCAGTCAATACAGTTACTACAGTCACTACAGTCACAGTCACTACAGTCACAGTCACTACAGTCAGTCACTACAGTTACTACAGTCACAGTCACTACAGTCACAGTCACTACAGTCACTAAAGTCACTACAGTCACAGTTACTACAGTCACAGTCACTACAGTCACAGTCACTACAGTTACTACAATCACTACAGTCACTACAGTCACTACAGTCACTACAGTCACTACAGTTACTACAGTCACAGTCACTACAGGTACTACAGTCACTACAGTCACAGTCACTACAGTTACTACAGTCACAGTCACTACAGTCACTACAGTTACTACAGTCACAGTCACTACTGTCACAGTCACTACAGTTACTACAGTTTACAGTCACTACAGTCACTACAGTTACAGTCACTACAGTCACTACAGTCACTACAGTCTCTACAGTCACTACAGTCACTACAGTCTCTACAGTCACTACAGTCACTACAGTCACAGTCACTACAGTCACAGTTACTACAGTCACTACAGTCACTACAGTCACTACAGTCAATACAGTCACAGTCACTACAGTCAGTTACTACAGTCACTACAGTCAATACAGTCACAGTCACTACAGTCACAGTTACTACAGTCACTACAGTCACTACAGTCACAGTCACTACAGTCACTACAGTCACTACAGTTACTACAGTTACAGTCACTACAGTTAGTCACTACAGTTACTACAGTCACTACAGTTACTACAGTTGCTACAGTTACAGTCACTACAGTCACTACAGTTACAGTCACTACAGTCACTACAGTCACTACAGTTACTACAGTTGCTACAGTTACAGTCACTACAGTTACAGTCACTACAGTTACTACAGTCACTACAGTCACAGTCACTACAGTTACTACAGTTACTACAGTCACTACAGTTACTACAGTCACTACAGTCACTACAGTCACTACAGTTACAGTCACTACAGTTACTACAGTCACTACAGTCACTACACTACAGTCACTACTAACTTATTACAGTCAAACAAACATGTTAAGCAGATTTCATAATAAAGTTATTTTTTGACAAAACGGGTTTATTATTGTTTTATTTTGTTGCATCTTGATGTAAAAAAACAACCTTTTTATTCCTCAGGATTATTATTAAAATCCAAAGAACAGACGTGGCAGTGATGTGCAGAAGTGGGTGATGTCACATGACAAAGGCCACCTGTTTGGTGTGTGGTCGGTACAGAGCGCAGGACTTAGCGGCCGCTAACTGCTCCATGATGGCCTGAACAGCGTCAGGTTTAACCGCTCTGCGCTCTCCTCGGCTCTCAGACCTGCCGCGCCGTCCTGAGCTGCTCCTGACCTCAGTCTGTCCCTGGACCGTGGCGTTGGAGCGATGGCGGTGGTCGTGGTTGTAGGTTTGTGCAGAGGTCCTGATGTTCCCTGCTGCCTGCATCTGCTGCAGATGGCCCTGACCCTGGACTGGACTCTGGACCGGATTCTGGACCGGACTCTGGAACCTCTGTCTGTGAAGAAGAGCGCGGCCCTCGCTGTGGCTCCTCTTGGAGAAAACTGAGGACCTTCTGTGCTCTGGGAGGGGGCTGGACCTCGAGGGCCTTCTGTGCTCTGGGGGGGGGCTGGATCTCGAGGGCCTTCTGTGCTCGGGGGGGGGGCTGGACTTTGAGGGCCGGCAGCTGCAGGAGGAGTTCCTGGTTGTGCAGACGACATAGGAGCAGTGACTGGGCCCCGGAGAGAGCACCGTGAAAGGAAAGGCCCTCTGACACTGCAGGATGCACTTGGGAGCGCTGAGGCGAGCTGAGGAGGACCCTGGGCTCCTCTGTCTGGAGGAGAGCGGCTCTGTGTGTGTTGTCCTGTTGGTATCTCGTGTTTTAATCTGATTCCATTCTAACTGTATTAACCTTTCCAGATATCGCTCTAATGGACCTGAGGCTCTCGGCCGGGAGCGGCCTTCCATATGATAGAAGTAAGCTAACTGGTGAAGGCTCCAGGAGTTGAAAGGTGGAGGGAGGAAGTCCGGAAAGTCGAATTTAGATTTGTTTTTCTTTCTGCTGGGAGCTTGATCAGGGACGATCAACTCCGGTCGCAGCTTCAGCTGTGGAGGAGGACCACAGGGCACCGAGCCTTTCTCTGATTCAGACAAATCAGTGTCGCTGTCATCATCTGTGAAATGAGGTCTCTGTCTGAGCCGTGGGGCTGGGTCAGGGGTGCAAAGGCGTGGGGCTGGGTCAGGGGTGCAGAGGGGTGGGGCTGGGTCAGGGGTGCAAAGGCGTGGGGCTGGGTCAGGGGTGCAGAGGCGTGGGGCTGGGTCAGGGGTGCAGAGGGGTGGGGCTGGGTCAGGGGTGCAGAGGCGTGGGGCTGGGTCAGGGGTGCAAAGGCGTGGGGCTGGGTCAGGGGTGCAGAGGCGTGGGGCTGGGTCAGGGGTGCAGAGGCGTGGGGCTGGGTCAGGGGTGCAGAGGGGTGGGGCTGGGTCAGGGGTGCAGAGGCGTGGGGCTGGGTCAGGGGTGCAGAGGGGTGGGGCTGGGTCAGGGGTGCAGAGGCGTGGGGCTGGGTCAGGGGTGCAGAGGCGTGGGGCTGGGTCAGGGGTGCAGAGGCGTGGGGCTGGGTCAGGGGTGCAGAGGCGTGGGGCTGGGTCAGGGGTGCAGAGGCGTGGGGCTGGGTCAGGGGTGCAGAGGCGTGGGGCTGGGTCAGGGGTGCAGAGGCGTGGGGCTGGGTCAGGGGTGCAGAGGCGTGGGGCTGGGTCAGGGGTGCAGAGGGGTGGGGCTGGGTCAGGGGTGCAGCGGTCTGTGTGTCTCCTGGTTCTTGGGGCTGAGGGCACTGACTGAGCCTGGTCCGAAGCAGGAGGCGGAGGTTTCGACGGTTTCTGAAAACTGAAACAACACATTGTTTTTACATCATGATGCAGCAGTTAATACAAAAACATGAAAAGTCATAGAATAATACAAAAACACAGTCACTCACTTTAGACGATACTTTCATTTCTCTTTTTGGACAATAAGCTTCTTACACACATATCACAAACAATATATTTATCATAAGTCTGTGTTTCCAAACCAGGGATCAGCGCTCACTGGGGTTTCTCATTCTCCGGTTCTTTAAGATGACGGAGCAACAACATCAACAAAAGGCTTTGAAGGTTCTTTTACCGCCACCGTGCCGCCTTTCTTCGGGCGGCACGGTGGCTGAGTGGATAGCACTCTCGCCTCTCAGCAAGAAGGTCCTGGGTTCGAATCCCGGCTGGACCAGGGCCTTTCTGAGTGGAGTTTGCATGTTCTCCCTGTGTCTGCGTAGGTTTCCTCCGGGTACTCCGGTTTCCCCTACCACTAAAAATATGTACAATAGGTCTGGCATGCGCCTCCTGTTCGGCGACCCTGCTCCCATCTCTGTGTGGAGTGAGAGGACAAGTGCCCAAAAAAATAACAATTGTAAACCGCTTTGTGGTCTGTGAAAGGCGGTATATAAATAAAGCTTACTTACTAAGCTTACTAAAGCTTAATAAGAAAAGAAAGTAAAGAAAGCTGAACTGACATGTTTGGGCGGTTCACTCCCGCCTTCATCAGAGGTGACACTGATGGTGTGATTCTGCTGTTGCCGAATGTGGTCAGTCCGACAGATCCCACAGCTCCCTCAGACTGACCACAGCGCCCCCCTGTGGTCTCTGGAGAAGTGAATCCGGAAGCGGCGCACGGACCATCAACAGAGACGAAGGGCTTTCACCTTGGCTCACACTTGGTTTTCACTTCTCCTGATGAAGGCGGAAGTGCACCGCCCAAACATGTGCTAATGAAGCAGTGCTGCCAGTGCCTTCTGGTCTCATTAAAAGAACCTTCAAAGCCTTCGCCCTCTCAGATGATGAAGTTAGACACCACTGTGCAGCTCTATGGTCACATACTTTAACAAAGTACTTAATAATAATAATAATGATAATATATAATACACAGTCACACTGTAGGAGACACTGATGTTAAACTGTCTACTTTCAGAGTATGTTATTATTATTTAATAAGTGCATTTATACCTTAGTTATTAAAGAATAATAACATGTGCATTATTGACAGTGTGTTCTATAAAGGAACAGTCACGTGATCTCACTGTTGTCTGGACATTCTGCTGTGTTTCCCCTTCACTGACTCCTGCAAAGACACACAGGTTCAACAACAACAATAACAAAAACAACACCAACACCAACAACAACACCAACACCAACAACAACAACAGCCCTGACCATAACAGTCTTATCAGCCTTTTCTCACCTGAGTGTTTTCTGAGGGTTTAGTCTTCTGCAGATGGACACAGCTCTGTTCTGTTCTGCACAACAACAAACACAGACACATTAGACCAGAGACCATCAACACACACTCAAAACAAGCACTACCTGTTCTCTCTACGGTCCGCTCTATGGTCCGCTCTCTCCTCCTTTTCCCTCTCCTCCTCTCTCTCCTCCTTCTCCCTCTGCTCCTCTCTCTCCTCCTCTCTCTCCTCCTCTCTCTCCTCCTCTCTCTGCTCCTCTCTCTCCTCCTCTCTCTCCTCCTCTCTCTCCTCCTCTCTCTCCTCCTCTCTCTCCTCCTCTCTCCTCCTCTCTCTCCTCCTCTCTCTCCTCCTCTCTCTCCTCCTCTCTCTCCTCCTCTCTCTCCTCCTCTCTCTCCTCCTCTCTCTCCTCCTCTCTCTGCTCCTCTCTCTGCTCCTCCCTCTGCTCCTCCCTCTCCTCCTCTCTCTGCTCCTCCCTCTCCTCCTCTCTCTGCTCCTCTCTCTGCTCCTCCCTCTCCTCCTCTCTCTGCTCCTCTCTCGGCTTGAGCTCGCTCCAGGCGGCCTCCTTCCACCCTGCCTCGGTGAACAGCCTCCGGGGGAAGTTTGCTGGTCCTCTCCGCTCTTTCTGCTGGAGGATGCTGCCCATCCTCACATCTCCCTCACGTCTCTCTCACGTCCCCCTCACGTCCTCCTCACGTCCCCCTCACGTCCCTCTCACGTCTCCCTCACGACCCCCTGACGTCTCGCTCACTCCCCCCTCACATCAGGCGGATAAACGCGAACCCAAAGTCTCCGATGACACCACAGCCGTAGACTGTAGAGATCCAGCGAAACAGACGGGTTTTCTGCGGTGTCGTAAACAGCCTGCAGGGTGTGTGGGTGTCCAGCAGAGGGCGCTGTGTGGGTGTCCAGCAGAGGGCGCTGTGTGGGTGTCCAGCAGAGGGCGCTGTGTGGGTGTCCAGCAGAGGGCGCTGTGTGGCTCCTGTTTTGACTCAGATGCAGTCTCCTGTTATTATTTCCTTGTGTGACTGTTTCTGTCATGTTTTGTTCAGCACTATGACTTGTCTTGTGTATGAATTGTGCAAAACAAATAAACTTGTCTTACTCGTGAGCGCTTCACATTCTGTCATGTGCCATATGTGCCGTAAATTTCTCCTGTGTGAGATTAATAAAGTCTTATCTTATCTTAAATCCATGTTCACAGAGAACATGAACAAACTAGTAAATAGTGTGTGTGTGTATGAGCTCAGCTGTGTGTGTGTGTGTGTTTCTATTGTACAAATACATCATTGAGTGATTACAATAAAAATACAACTTATTATATTTGTGAAGGAAACTCTTCACTGAGAAAGAAACCTTTTAGTTCCATCATTCTAAATAAGGACAAAAGTCAATTACAATAAACAATTGACTTATTATATTTCGAATGAAGGAAACAGTCTTCAACACGTTACAGGAAACAGCTTTTTAGACACTCAAAGTCTCTTCACATGTGTCATTATCCTCTCTCTCCAAACACAGCAGTGATAAACTACTGTAGCCACAGCTGCCCTGGGGCACACTGACAGAAGTGAGGCAACCAGTCTGTGCCATCGGCCCCAGGCAATGGGGGTGAAGTGTCTTGCCTAAGGACACAACGGCAGTTTGGCCACTTTACAGCCGCAGCCGCCCCACTGTGGCTGGTGTTCCCAGAGGCTAAGTGTCTTGCCAAGGACACAACAACAGCAGACAGTGGGAGTCGATGGTGAAAGTCTTGAGCGGGGCTCGAATCCACAACCTTCTGGCTCAAAGGCCAACGCGCAACTGAGCTACTGCCTCCCCAAAGTAGCTCCTTTTGCTCTGATACTGCTTCACTCAGTAATCAGAGCCTCTGACACTGGGGGATACCTAGAGATAGTCGGCCTCACCTCCACACACAGCTTGGGCTCTGAACCCAACTCCTTAAGAGGGGTTGGACGCTCCACTTTTCTGGTGTTTCTCGCGGGGAGAGGCGGCGAGCGGGGGTGGCCATACTCATTGCCCCCCATCTCAGCTCCACGTGTTGGAGTTCTCCCCGGTGAATGAGAGGGTCGCGTCCCTCCGCCTCCGGGTGGGTGACAAGTCTCTCATTGTTGTTACGGCCTACAGGCCTAACAGCAGTGCAGAGTACCCGGCCTTCTTGGAGTCCTTGGGAGGGGTACTGGACAGTGCACTCCGTTATTCTCCTGGGGGACTTCAACGCCCATGTGGGGGACGCCAGTGACACTTGGAGAGGGGTGAAGGGGAAGAACGGCCCTGATCTGAACCCGAGCGGTGTTCAGTTGTTGGACTTCTGTGCCAGTCACAGTTTGTCCATCACCAACACCATGTTCCACCAGGGGGCGCCAGGACCTAAGGCCAGAGGTCGATGATCGACTTTGATGTCGTATATCTGACCTTTGACCGCGTGTCTCGGACACTCGGGTGAAGAGAGGGGAGGAGCTAAAGAGAGGGGTGGAGCTAAAGAGAGGGGCGGAGCTGTCAACCGATCATCACCTGGTCGTGAGTTGGATCCTGGCTGGCAGATGTGTATATGTACATGTACATGTATGTGTATGTGTATATGTATGTGTATATGTACATGTACGTGTATATGTACGTGTATATGTATGTGTATATGTATGTGTATATGTACATGTACATGTATATGTACGTGTATATGTATGTGTATATGTACATGTACGTGTATATGTATGTGTATATGTATGTGTATATGTACATGTATGTGTATATGTATGTGTACATGTATATATGTATGTGTATATGTATGTGTATATGTACATGTACGTGTATGTGTATATGTACATGTACGTGTATATGTATGTGTATATGTATGTGTATAGGTACATGTACGTGTATATGTATGGGTATATGTACATGTATGTGTATATGTACATGTACGTGTATATGTATGTGTATATGTATGTGTATATGTACATGTATGTGTATGTATATATGTATGTGTATATGTATGTGTATATGTATGTATATATGTACATGTATGTGTATGTGTACATGTACGTGTATATGTATGTGTATATGTATGTGTATATGTATGTATATATGTATGTGTATATGTACATGTACGTGTATATGTATGTGTATATGTATGTGTATATGTACATGTATGTGTATATGTATGTGTACATGTACATGTACGTGTATATGTATGTGTATATGTATGTGTATATGTATGTGTATATGTACATGTATGTGTATATGTATGTGTATATGTATGTGTATATGTATGTGTATATGTATGTATATATGTACATGTATGTGTATGTGTACATGTACGTGTATATGTATGTGTATATGTATGTGTATATGTATGTATATATGTATGTGTATATGTACATGTACGTGTATATGTATGTGTATATGTATGTGTATATGTATGTATATATGTCTGTGTATATGTACATGTACGTGTATATGTATGTGTATATGTATGCGTATATGTATATGTACATGTATGTGTACATGTATGTGTATATGTATGTGTATATGTATGTATATATGTATGTGTATATGTACATGTACGTGTATATGTATGTGTATATGTATGTGTATATGTACATGTACGTGTATATGTATGTGTATATGTACATGTACGTGTATATGTATGTGTATATGTATGTGTATATGTATGTGTATATGTACATGTACGTGTATATGTACGTGTATATGTATGTGTATATGTATGTGTATATGTACATGTACGTGTATATGTATGTGTATATGTATGTATGTGTATATGTATGTGTATATGTACGTGTACATGTATGTGTATATGTATGTGTATATGTATGTGTATATGTATATGTATATGTACATGTACGTGTATATGTACGTCTATATGTATGTGTATATGTACATGTACGTGTATATGTATGTGTATATGCACATGTACGTGTATATGTATGTGTATATGTATGTCTATATGTATGTGTATATGTACATGTACGTGTATATGTATGTGTATATGTATGCGTATATGTATATGTACATGTACGTGTATATGTATATGTACGTGTATATGTATATGTATGTGTATATGTATGTGTATATGTACGTGTACATGTATGTGTATGTGTATATGTATGTGTATATGTACATGTATGTGTATATGTACGTGTACATGTATGTGTATATGTATGTTTATATGTACGTGTATATGTACGTGTACATGTATGTGTATATGTATGTGTATATGTATGTGTATATGTACATGTATGTGTATATGTATGTGTATATGTATGTGTATATGTATGTATATATGTATGTGTATATGTACATGTACGTGTATATGTATGTGTATATGTATGTGTATATGTACATGTATGTGTATATGTACGTGTACATGTATGTGTATATGTATATGTATGTGTATATGTACATGTATGTGTATATGTATGTATATATGTATGTGTATATGTATGTGTATATGTATGTATATATGTACATGTATGTGTATGTGTACATGTACGTGTATATGTATGTGTATATGTATGTGTATATGTATGTATATATGTATGTGTATATGTACATGTACGTGTATATGTATGTGTACATGTATGTGTATATGTATGTGTATATGTACGTGTACATGTATGTGTATATGTACGTGTACATGTATGTGTATATGTATGTGTATATGTACGTGTACATGTATGTGTATATGTATGTGTATATGTATGTGTATATGTATGTGTATATGTATGTGTATATGTATGTGTACATGTATGTGTATATGTATGTGTATATGTATGTGTACATGTATGTGTACATGTATGTGTATATGTATGTGTATATGTATGTGTATATGTATGTGTATATGTATGTGTATATGTATGTGTATATGTATGTGTACATGTATGTGTATATGTATGTGTATATGTATGTGTATATGTATGTGTATATGTATGTGTATATGTATGTGTATATGTATGTGTATATGTATGTGTATATGTATGTGTATATGTATGTGTGTATGTATGTGTGTATGTATATGTATATGTATATGTACCTTATTCAGAGACGGCTGCAGCTTCGTCTTTTTGTTTGGATGGACCGGGTCTTTGATGTCGGACAAAACTGAAACAAATGTACTTATTTAGAACAGTTAAGGACATAAATGTGATTTCAATGTTTCATAACAGCTACAGCAGCATGGCTAACCACCGCAGCAGCACTGCTAACCACAGTAGCAGCACGGCTAACCACCGCAGCAGCACTGCTAACCACAGTAGCAGCAGAGCTAACCACAGTAGCAGCAAAGCTAACCACACTAGCAGCATGACTAACCACTCACAGGACAGGTCTCTCTTCACGGCCGTGTTCTTCTTCCTCCTGATCGGGAACTCGTCGATCTTCAGCTCGCCTTCGTCAGACACGTACTCGTACTCGTCTCTCACCGGTTTGGCCTTGTCCTCCTTCTGCAGCGAGCTCTGCGGCTTCAGCATCTTAGAGCTGCGTTAGGTACAGGTTATTTATATGGCACAGTCTGAGGGACAGGTTACAGTCTGAGGTCCATAGAGAGTCAATTATAGTAAACATGAGGACCATAGAGAGTCAATTATAGTAAACATGAGGACCATAGAGAGTCAATTATAGTAAACATGAGGACCATAGAGAGTCAATTATAGTAAACATGAGGACCATAGAGAGTCAATTATAGTAAACATGAGGACCATAGAGAGTCAATTATAGTAAACATGAGGACCATAGAGAGTCAATTATAGTAAACATGAGGACCATAGAGAGTCAATTATAGTAAACATGAGGACCATAGAGAGTCAATTATAGTAAACATGAGGACCATAGAGAGTCAATTATAGTAAACATGAGGACCATGGAGAGTCAATGATACACATGAGGACCATAGAGAGTCAATGATACACATGAGGACCATAGAGAGTCAATGATACACATGAGGACCATAGAGAGTCAATGATAGTAAACATGAGGACCATAGAGAGTCAATGATACACATGAGGACCATAGAGAGTCAATGATAGTAAACATGAGGACCATAGAGAGTCAATGATACACATGAGGACCATAGAGAGTCAATGATAGTAAACATGAGGACCATAGAGAGTCAATGATAGTAAACATGAGGACCATAGAGAGTCAATGATAGTAAACATGAGGACCATAGAGAGTCAATGATAGTAAACATGAGGACCATAGAGAGTCAATGATAGTGAACATGAGGACCATAGAGAGTCAATGATAGTGAACTAACCTGAGCAGCTTCTTGTGGGACATAAAGCTGAATCTTTCTTTGTTACTCGACAGCGGCGTTCGGTCGAACTTACTCTCCTCCTCCATCTTTAACAAGGAGTCGGGTTTACTGTTCTGTAAGAAACACGTTATTACTGTGTAAGAAACACATGTTATTACTGTGTAAGAAACACATGTTATTACTGTGTAATAAACACATGCAAAGACACACTCTTGCAACAAGCAGAGAATGGTCCTGGGTACTTTATGACCACGTTCAGCTACGAGCTCGCTGCGGTGTCGTCAAGGAGCCGCTGTCACGGAGGATTTGGAATCCTGTTCCAGTACGTACAGCAAACAGAAGCCCCACTATCACACACACCCTCTCTGGCACTGACCACGCCCCCCAGGGAGGAGCGCCCCACTATCAACACACCCTCTCTGGCACTGACCACGCCCCCCAGGGAGGAGCGCCCCACTATCACACACACCCTCTCTGGCACTGACCACGCCCCCCAGGGAGGAGCGCCCCACTATCACACACACCCTCTCTGGCACTGACCACGCCCCCCAGGGAGGAGCGCCCCACTATCACACACACCCTCTCTGGCACTGACCACGCCCCCCAGGGAGGAGCGCCCCACTATCACACACACCCTCTCTGGCATTGACCACGCCCCCCAGGGAGGAGCGCCCCACTATCACACACACCCTCTCTGGCATTGACCACGCCCCCCAGGGAGGAGCGCCCCACTATCACACACACCCTCTCTGGCATTGACCACGCCCCCCAGGGAGGAGCGCCCCACTATCACACACACCCTCTCTGGCACTGACCACGCCCCCCAGGGAGGATATTTGTCGCTGTGTGTACCTGCGGACCAGTAATGTGCACCCCTGATTATTTAGAGCTTTTATTTAGACGCTTTAAATATAAATGTAGTAAAGACCTATGGAGGTGAAGTTTGAACATTTATACAAACAGTCAGGGTCCGGTCCCAGTCTGGGTCCGGTCTCAGTCTGAGTCTCAGTCTGGGTCCGGTCTCAGTCTGGGTCCAGTCTCAGTCTGAGTCCCGGTCTGGGTCCGGTCTCAGTCTGGGTCCGGTCTCAGTCTGGGTCCGGTCTCAGTCTGAGTCCCAGTCTGGGTCCGGTCTCAGTCTGAGTCTCAGTCTGGGTCCGGTCTCAGTCTGGGTCCGGTCACAGTCTGGGTCCGGTCTCAGTCTGGGTCCAGTCTCAGTCTGAGTCCCGGTCTGGGTCCGGTCTCAGTCTGGGTCCGGTCTCAGTCTGGGTCCAGTCTCAGTCTGAGTCCCAGTCTGGGTCCGGTCTCAGTCTGAGTCTCAGTCTGGGTCCGGTCTCAGTCTGGGTCCGGTCACAGTCTGGGTCCGGTCTCAGTCTGGGTCCAGTCTCAGTCTGAGTCCCAGTCTGGGTCCGGTCTCAGTCTGGGTCCAGTCTCAGTCTGAGTCCCAGTCTGGGTCCGGTCTCAGTCTGGGTCCGGTCACAGTCTGGGTCCGGTCTCAGTCTGGGTCCAGTCTCAGTCTGAGTCTCAGTCTGGGTCCGGTCTCAGTCTGAGTCACAGTCTGGGTCCGGTCTCAGTCTGGGTCCGGTCTCAGTCTGAGTCCGGTCTCAGTCTGAGTCCGGTCTCAGTCTGGGTCCGGTCTCAGTCTGGGTCCGGTCTCAGTCTGGGTCCGGTCTCAGTCTGGGTCCGGTCTCAGTCTGGGTCCGGTCTCAGTCTGAGTCCGGTCTCAGTCTGGGTCCGGTCTCAGTCTGGGTCCGGTCTCAGTCTGAGTCCGGTCTCAGTCTGGGTCCGGTCTCAGTCTGGGTCCGGTCTCAGTCTGAGTCCGGTCTCAGTCTGGGTCCGGTCTCAGTCTGGGTTCTCGTACCTTATATTTCCACTTTGCTTCAGTCTTGTTCTTGTTCTGTTCTCTGATGTTGAACTTGTCCAAACTGTTCTGTTTCATCTCTTTCTCTGAAGAACTCAGCACATTTTTCACAGCCTGCAGAAGAAAACATACACTTTAAATAAAACACATTTGTTATAATCAATATCAGGCAGCCGATGAGCAGGAAGTGAAACCATGGCAACCATTAACAACAACATGTTTGTTCAAGTGTGAGCGACGGCGGCAGAGACAGTGATAAGTAAGTCATGTTTATTTATATAGCACATTTTACAGACTCAAAGCACTTTACAAAGTTCAGAGTCAGATGTTGTTTCACTCTCAGTCTGTGCTAACCACTCAGCCGCCGTGCCGCCCAAACATGTTGATCACTCCAAATTGTTCAAACTAACAAAAGTGATTCTGATTTTAGTGATCAGAAGATATTTGATGTTTTCATGTGTTCAAATCCCTCCTCAGTCACATCCTTTTCTATGATTCCTTTTTAAACCAAGTGATTTCCTGAAGTGTCAAACTGTGGAGTTCTGTTTCAGACTTTTAAAGTCCAGATCCTTAAATAACCGTGAACACGTCCTGTTGGATCAAACCGAGCTCTGAAGTGCTCTGACCTTGGCCTTCTTGGACTGGTCCATCTTGCTCAGGATGTCTTTGGCGTGAGACTCCAGGGCGGCGAAGCTGGAGGGTCTGGGGGGGGGCGACACCTCCTTGGCTTTCTTGGCTTTCTTCTTCCCTCCCTCCTTCACCTTGGGGGGCTTGGGGGCTTTGGGGATCTTTGGGGGTTTGGGAGGTTTGGGAGGTTTCTTTTTGCGAGGCCGGTCTCTGCTCGGAGACGGGACCTCGTCTGCAGACTCTGGGTCCTCTGGTTCTGAGTGAGTGGACGGGGCCTCCTCCACGGGGGGTCTGACGCTGGGCTCGCTCTTTATGGCTTTAGTTGCATTCTGAAAGTTCAACACAAACACGTCACATTTGTGCCGTTTGTAAATGTGTAAAAGCACTGAGTTTGTGTAAAGGATTGAAACAGTGAATATCCGTTCTTAGATCATATTGTTTTTAAGATAATATTATTTTTAAGATAATATTGTTTTTAAGATAATATTGTTTTTAAGATAATATTGTTTTTAAGATAATATTGTTTGTAAGATAATATTGTTTTTAAGATAATATTGTTTGTAAGATAATATTGTTTGTAAGATAATATTGTTTGTAAGATAATATTGTTTGTAAGATAATATTGTTTGTAAGATAATATTGTTTGTAAGATAATATTGATGTGAATGTGTAGAAAGCTGAACATTAGCAGCAGCTTAAGGATCACCCTCCCTGTACAGGGAGGATTCAGTTATTTTTCATTTAACAGCATCAGTATTAGAATTCACTTGTGTCAATATAGTCAAGCTATATCTCTTTTGAAAGCTTATTCCCACCTCTAAACGCGTATTATGTTCAAATAAACATTAAATATAACCAAAATTAAGAATAAGTAGTCTAACTGTATATATATTTAAAATATATATTGTCCTTTCTTACCTTGTCATGCTAATATTCTGGGGCAAATCACGTCTAATCCACACATGTGTGCATTCGTTTTGTTCTTTAGGGTCTAGAGAATAATTATATCCAGTTGTTTTTTCTTCAAAGTCATCCTTATAGTAGATATCCACTTGTAACAACATATTTGAGTATTGAAAGTTGCACAAACCAAAATAAAACCTGTTCTTTGCGCACTGTATGAAGAGGACATTTTACTGTTTAGCTAGCGTCACTGGGTATGTTCGTCTTCCTCTAAGCCTCCCCTTCAAAACAAGCCCATTCCCGGACTTTTCAGTGCTATGGTTTGGAAGGTAGAGTAAGTTGAGTAAAACAAGCGCACCTAGCTTTAGCGCTCCATTCACATAGATATCTGTGCGTCACGACAGCATTGTCTTGACTACCATTGGCCGATTTGGATGTCAATCAAATCATCTTGTAGCCAATAATCTCAGGTTTCAGGCGATGTGTCGGACTTCTAGCTTCCTCCCACTGTTCCCGTCATATTTGAATGCGTAAAGAGGAAGACGGAGCCTTTTTCACGGAGAACACGCGCTATAACTATATAAATAATAGCTTTTCTGCAAATCTTTCAATAACTGGAAAAAATGCTATTTATAGCAAGAGTAATAGCCAAAAAATTATATAAATGGATTTTTGGTGTAAAAACATTGATAATTTGCATGTAAAACACTTTGGCACAGTTGGCACAAAAATGGACCACTTGTGCCGAATGTGCCCATTAGTTACAAAAAAGCCCCCAGCATCAAAATAGTTCCACCTAAAGGTCTAAAATTTCATACAGGTGTTTCCAACACCACAAACATCTGCTCTGGTGAGTTTGAACATCATACCATAAAGTATGTCTTCAGGAGAACCTTTTGAAATTGCCTTTTATTTTTTTTGACAAAAAAAACTAACTTTGACTCATATTTGAGAAGCTGTAGTGCAGACTGTGTCCTTCCTAACAAACTGTAACATACATTTTCAGAAACTAGAAGGTGTTACCTTTCAAATGAGGCCTCATAACACAAAATCAGACACAAGATGTCCACAGAATAAGCATTTCCATTTGGGTATCATAATTCGAGAAGGAGCAGGCGAAATTAGGTGATCCTTAAAGGGTTAAACTCTTTAGCTTCACTTACAGCTTGTTCTCTGTCGACTCTAAAGTCCAGGTCAAATGAATAAATAAATAAATAGTTAAAGGACACATAAAGTCTGTCGACTCTAAAGTCCAGGTCAAATGAATAAATAAATAAATAGTTAAAGGACACATAAAGTCTGACCTCGGACAGTCTGATCTCTTTGGCCAGATCCTTGATCAGCTGCGACGGCTTCATGTTCTCAGGGAGCTCGTCCTCGTGTTCCAGAAGAGCCTGAGACACACACACATGTATGTCAGACACACACACACATGTATGTCAGACACACATGTATGTCAGACAGACACACACACATGTATGTCAGACACACATGTATGTCAGACAGACACACACATGTATGTCAGACACACACACACATGTATGTCAGACACACACACACACACATGTATGTCAGACACACACACACACACATGTATGTCAGACACACACACACACACACACATGTATGTCAGACACACACACACACACACACATGTATGTCAGACACACAAGTATGTCAGACAGACACACACATGTATGTCAGACACACACACACACACACACATGTCAGACACACACACACACACATGTATGTCAGACACACACACACATGTATGTCAGACACACGTACACACACACACATGTATGTCAGACACACACACACACACACACATGTATGTCAGACACACACACACACATGTATGTCAGACACACACACACACATGTATGTCAGACACACACACACATGTATGTCAGACACACACACACACACATGTATGTCAGACACACACACACACATGTATGTCAGACACACACACACATGTATGTCAGACACACACACACATGTATGTCAGACACACATGTATGTCAGACAGACACACACACATGTATGTCAGACACACATGTATGTCAGACAGACACACACATGTATGTCAGACACACACACACATGTATGTCAGACACACACACACACACATGTATGTCAGACACACACACACACACACATGTATGTCAGACACACACACACACACACACATGTATGTCAGACACACAAGTATGTCAGACAGACACACACATGTATGTCAGACACACACACACGTATGTCAGACACACACACACACACACATGTCAGACACACACACACACACATGTATGTCAGACACACACACACATGTATGTCAGACACACGTACACACACACACATGTATGTCAGACACACACACACACACACACATGTATGTCAGACACACACACACATGTATGTCAGACACACACACACATGTATGTCAGACACACACACACACACACACACACACATGTATGTCAGACACACACACACACATGTATGTCAGACACACACACACACACACATGTATGTCAGACACACATGTATGTCAGACAGACACACACACATGTATGTCAGACACACATGTACGTCAGACAGACACACACATGTATGTCAGACACACACATACATGTATGTCAGACACACACACACACACACACATGTATGTCAGACGTACACACAGACACACACACACGTATGTCAGACACACACACACATGTATGTCAGACACACACACACATGTATGTCAGACACACATGTATGTCAGACAGACACACACATGTATGTCAGACACACACACACGTATGTCAGACACACACACACGTACACACATGACACACACACACACACACACATCAGACACACACACACACACATGTATGTCACACACACACACACACATGTATGTCAGACACACACACACACATGTATGTCAGACACACACACACATGTATGTCAGACACACGTACACACACACACATGTATGTCAGACACACACACACATGTATGTCAGACACACACACACACGTATGTCACACACACACATGTATGTCAGACACACACACATGTATGTCAGACACACACACACACATGTATGTCAGACACACACACACACACACACACATGTATGTCAGACACACACACACATGTATGTCAGACACACACACACACATGTATGTCAGACACACATGTATGTCAGACAGACACACACATGTATGTCAGACAGACACACACATGTATGTCAGACACACACACACACACACACACATGTATGTCAGACACACACACACATATATGTCAGACAAAAACACCCACACACACATGTATGTCAGACACACATGTATGTCAGACACACACACACATGTATGTCAGACACACACATACACATGTATGTCAGACACACACACACACACATGTATGTCAGACACACGCACCCACACACACACATGTATGTCAGACACACACACACACACACATGTATGTCAGACACACACACACACGTATGTCAGACACACACACATGTATGTCAGACACACACACACATGTATGTCAGACACACACACACACACATGTATGTCAGACACACAAACACACACATGTATGTCAGACACACACACACATGTATGTCAGACACACACACACACACACATGTATGTCAGACACACACACACACATGTATGTCAGACACACACACACATGTATGTCAGACACACACACATATGTCAGACACACACACACATGTATGTCAGACACACACACACACACACACACACACACACACACATGTATGTCAGACACACACACACACATGTATGTCAGACACACACACACACATGTATGTCTGACACACACACACACACACACACATGTATGTCAGACACAGACACACACACACATGTATGTCAGACACACACACACACACATGTATGTCAGACACACACACACATGTATGTCAGACACACACACACATGTATGTCAGACACACACACACACATGTATGTCAGACACACACACACATGTATGTCAGACACACACACACATGTATGTCAGACACACACACACACATGTATGTCAGACACACACACACACATGTATGTCAGACACACACACACATGTATGTCAGACACACACACACACACATGTATGTCAGACACACACACACACATGTATGTCAGACACACACACACACATGTATGTCAGACACACACACACATGTATGTCAGACACACACACACACATGTATGTCAGACACACACACACACACATGTATGTCAGACACACACACACACATGTATGTCAGACACACACACACATGTATGTCAGACACACACACACATGTATGTCAGACACACACACACACATGTATGTCAGACACACACACACACATGTATGTCAGACACACACACACACATGTATGTCAGACACACACACACACACACATGTATGTCAGACACACACACATGTATGTCAGACACACACACACACATGTATGTCAGACACACACACACACATGTATGTCAGACACACACACACACACACATGTATGTCAGACACACACACACACATGTATGTCAGACACACACACACATGTATGTCAGACACACACACACACATGTATGTCAGACACACACACACATGTATGTCAGACACACACACACATGTATGTCAGACACACACACAATGTATGTCAGACACACACACACACATGTATGTCAGACACACACACATGTATGTCAGACACACACACACATGTATGTCAGACACACACACACATGTATGTCAGACACACACACACACATGTATGTCAGACACACACACACACACAGTATGTCAGACACACACACACATGTATGTCAGACACACACACACACATGTATGTCAGACACACACACACAGAACACACACATGTATGTCAGACACACACACACACATGTATGTCAGACACACACACACATGTATGTCAGACACACACACATGTATGTCAGACACACACACACACATGTATGTCAGACACACACACACACATGTATGTCAGACACACACACACACATGTATGTCAGACACACACACACACATGTATGTCAGACACACACACACATGTATGTCAGACACACACACACATGTATGTCAGACACACACACACATGTATGTCAGACACACACACACACATGTATGTCAGACACACACACACACATGTATGTCAGACACACACACACATGTATGTCAGACACACACACACACACACAGTATGTCAGACACACACACACATGTATGTCAGACACACACACACACATGTATGTCAGACACACACACACACACACATGTATGTCAGACACACACACACACACATGTATGTCAGACACACACACACACATGTATGTCAGACACACACACACACAGTATGTCAGACACACACACACATGTATGTCAGACACACACACACATGTATGTCAGACACCACACACATGTATGTCAGACACACACACACATGTATGTCAGACACACACACACACACATGTATGTCAGACACACACACACACATGTATGTCAGACACACACACACCACATGTATGTCAGACACACACACACATGTATGTCAGACACACACACACATGTATGTCAGACACACACACACATGTATGTCAGACACACACACACACACATGTATGTCAGACACACACACACACATGTATGTCAGACACACACACACACATGTATGTCAGACACACACACACACACACAACACACTGTATGTCAGACACACACACACACAATGTATGTCAGACACACACACACACATGTATGTCAGACACACACACACACATGTATGTCAGACACACACACACACACAGACACACACACACACACTGTATGTCAGACACACACACACATGTATGTCAGACACACACACACATGTATGTCAGACACACACACACACACACACACACACATGTATGTCAGACACACACACAAATGTATGTCAGACACACACACACACATGTATGTCAGACACACACACACACATGTATGTCAGACACACACACACACATGTATGTCAGACACACAACACACACATGTATGTCAGACACACACACACACATGTATGTCAGACACACACACACACATGTATGTCAGACACACACACATGTATGTCAGACACACACACACATGTATGTCAGACACACACACACACACATGTATGTCAGACACACACACATTCAGACACACACACACCATGTATGTCAGACACACACACACACACATGTATGTCAGACACACACACACATGTATGTCAGACACACACACACATGTATGTCAGACACACACACACACACATGTATGTCAGACACACACACACACACATGTCAGACACACACACAACATGTATGTCAGACACACACACACACACATGTATGTCAGACACACACACACATGTATGTCACACACACACACACATGTATGTCAGACACACACACACACATGTATGTCAGACACACACACACACATGTATGTCAGACACACACACACATGTATGTCAGACACACACACACATGTATGTCAGACACACACACACACATGTATGTCAGACACACACACACACATGTATGTCAGACACACACACACACATGTATGTCAGACACACACACACATGTATGTCAGACACACACACACACATGTATGTCAGACACACACACACACATGTATGTCAGACACACACACACACACATGTATGTCAGACACACACACACACATGTATGTCAGACACACACACACATGTATGTCAGACACACACACACACATGTATGTCAGACACACACACACACATGTATGTCAGACACACACACACATGTATGTCAGACACACACACACACATGTATGTCAGACACACACACACACATGTATGTCAGACACACACACACACACACACACATGTATGTCAGACACACACACACACACATGTATGTCAGACACACACACACACATATATGTCAGACACACACACACACATGTATGTCAGACACACACACACACATGTATGTCAGACACACACACACACACATGTATGTCAGACACACACACACACACATGTATGTCAGACACACACACACACACATGTATGTCAGACACACACACACACACACATGTATGTCAGACACACACACACACATATGTCAGACACACACACATGTATGTCAGACACACACACACACATGTATGTCAGACACACACACACACATGTATGTCAGACACACACACACACATGTATGTCAGACACACACACACACATGTATGTCAGACACACACACACACATGTATGTCAGACACACACACACACATGTATGTCAGACACACACACACACATGTATGTCAGACACACATGTATGTCAGACACACACACATGTATGTCAGACACACACACATGTATGTCAGACACACACACACATGTATGTCAGACACACACACACACATGTATGTCAGACACACATGTATGTCAGACACACACACATGTATGTCAGACACACACACACACACATGTATGTCAGACACACACACACACATGTATGTCAGACACACATGTATGTCAGACACACACACATGTATGTCAGACACACACACACATGTATGTCAGACACACACACACACATGTATGTCAGACACACACACACACACACACACTGCAGGGGGCCACTCGTTATGGTCAGGGGCCTAACAATACTGTGTTGTACATTCTGAAGGAGACATAACTTTCACTGTTATTTTCTGGTAGATTTTTCCTAAAGTAAAATGTGTTTATAGTTTAGATTAAAGATTATCGTGTGTTGGGGTAAAATGTTAGATTAAAGATTATCGTGTGTTGGGGTAAAATGTTAGATTAAAGATTATCGTGTGTTGGGGTAAAATGTTAGATTAAAGATTATCGTGTGTTGGGGTAAAATGTTAGATTAAAGATTATCGTGTGTTGGGGTAAAATGTTAGATTAAATGTTGTTGTTTTACTGATATAAAAGATGATGTATAACGTGCCATGGCAGACCATTACATGCGGCCGGACTGGGCCCACAGGCCTGAGTGTGGCATCGCTGCGCCTGTGTTTTTCTGCATTTACCTGTTTCTTGGTCCACGCCCTGAACGCTCCGTTGACGATCTTGGCGCCGTGGACCAGGTACGGCGCCGGCTGTTTGTTGGCTTTATGTAAAGCTGCGACACAGAAACACAGAAACACTTCAGAAGCTGTGAAAGAAGTACAACTACAACTGAAGTCAAAGGAACAGGACATGAAGTGTGAGAGCTGTGGCTTGGATGCAGCCCAAGCTAGCGCTACATAGCACGCTAGCAGCTCATTAGCATCTGGTTTGAACACATGCAAATGTGAAAATGGTGGAAACATAAACAATGGTCTGAGTTTAAGCAGTAACAGAGCGATTCGAGCTGCGCCAAGTCTTTTGAAGCAAATCATCTGTGAACGAGTGAATCCTGACATCTGTGCGGGGGTCAGAGGTCACACACAGGCCTCCAGCTAAACCTACAGAAACATTCATAATATTCACCTTTGAATCTCTCCAGGAAGTGGCGGCCCACGTACCAGCACGCCGTCTCATAGTTACAGAAGGGAGTCAGGGTCTTCACCTTCAGACGCTTCTCTATTTCATACGCTCTGGACACAAGACACAGCCGTCAGCAATGTCCACAGGGTCAGAGGTCAGGGGTCAAAGTCAGGGTCAGAGTCAGGGTCAGGGTCAGAGGTCAGAGTCAGGGGTCAGAGTCAGAGGTCAGGGGTCAGAGTCAGGATCAGGGGTCAGAGTCAGAGGTCAGGGCTCAGAGTCAGGGTTAGAGGTCAGAGGTCAGGGGTCAGAGGTCAGAGTCAGAAGTCAAGGTTAGGGGTTAGGGTCAGAGGTTAGGGGTCAGAGGTCAGGGTCAGAGTCAGGGTTAGGGGTCAGAGGTCAGAGTCAGGGCCAGAATGATAAAAGACGATTATTTAAAGAAACAATAATATTATTGATGATTGATGTTGAATCCATTTTTATCTGGAAAGTTTAGCGCTTTAGTTCATCCACTGCTTTTGCAGTTACTTGAACAAAGACTTCAATTATGAAATACATTTTAGCATGATCATTTCCGGTATCGGTCAATATCGGTATCGGCAGAAACCCATAGCTCTGGTATCGGTATCGGTAGTAAAAAAGCTGGATCGGTGCATCTCTAATTTCATCATCATAAAAACCATATTTTTTATTATTGGTACTTATAAGTTACTAATCTATGTGATTTTTTTTTTTTTAAGTGTCAAAGTTAATTTTTTATGAGTGTAAAATCATTGCGTCTTTTGGCTGCCAAAAGACGCAAAAGACGTCTTTTGGCTTTTGGGTGTCTGACAATTGTGCGTAATGCACAATTCTACAGGCACAAAATAAAATAGTACACCATTGTCCCACCCCTTAATAGAAAGCTTTCCTCATTGGCTACACGGACATGTCAATCGTTTGGACAGGAAGTAGATGCAAAGCAGTCTAATGTCACAGATGCGCAACGAGCAGCCGCTAGCAGTACTACCGGGAGATGTTACGGACCTAAAACACCTCGTAGAGATTCATGGAAGGTGTCATTTTAAAGCTAAGGAGCTAAGGAACACGTGGATGCCAGTAGTTTGGGTGAAAAACAAAACTAAAAGGCCATTTACAGTGAAAGAACAGCCTCTGTGCTCTTTTTTTTGTTTTTTGCTAAAGATAAATGCACATTTTTGGATTATTTCTCCAGAATGGATTATACTTTGGGAAATACAAGTGGATATTATTTTTAAATGGACTGTTCCAGAGAGAAAGAGCCATAGGAAGCCAGGAGGAGAGCTGATTTATTTATGCAGCACAATCTGAATCTGAATCTTATTTTGAGCTCATATTATGTGTTATATCTTTTGAATGCAAAGTCTGATGTAGTTTTTGGGGTTTGGTGTTTAAAATGCATCTGCTATTGCCAGCAGAACATTTTAAAATAAATGTGGGTGTAAAGAGGTAACCACCACAGTCTGTCTAAACACAAGGAACTGCTTCTGTTTGAACTGTGCTACACTAATAAACTCTGCAGACAGCCTGTCTCATTCATTCACCAAAAAACACCAATTTAACTGTTCCTCATGTGTTCATGTACTTATGTGTTCATGTACTCATGTGTTCATGTACTCGTGTGTTCATGTGTTCATGTACTCATGTGTTCATGTACTCATGTGTTCATGTACTCGTGTGTTCATGTGTTCATGTACTCATGTGTTCATGTACTCATGTGTTCATGTGTTCATGTACTCATGTGTTCATGTACTCATGTGTTCATGTACTCATGTGTTCATGTACGCATGTGTTCATGTACTCATGTGTTCATGTACTTGTGTGTTCATGTGTTCATGTACTCATGTGTTCATGTACTCATGTGTTCATGTACTCGTGTGTTCATGTACTCGTGTTTTCATGTGTTCATGTACTCATGTGTTTATGTGTCCATGTGTTCATGTACTCATGTGTTCATGTACTCATGTGTTCATGTACTCATGTGTTCATGTACTCATGTGTCCATGTGTTCATATGTTCATGTACTCATGTACTCATGTACTCATGTGTCCATGTGTTCATGTGTTCATGTACTCATGTACTCATGTACTCATGTGTCCATGTGTCCATGTGTTTATGTGTTCATGTACTCATGTGTTCATGTACTCATGTACTCGTGTGTTCATGTGTTCATGTACTCATGTACTCATGTACTCATGTGTTCATGTGTTCATGTGTTCATGTATTCATGTACTCATGTGTTCATGTACTCGTGTGTTCATGTACTCATGTGTTCATGCATTGATGGTGACAGAGTGAGTCCTCACCTCATCTGCATCTCCACACTCAGGTTGTGGACAAAGTGTCCAGAGAAGGCCAGACAGTCGACTGGAGTCAGGATGGCATTGATCCATCCTGAAAGAACAGGCCATACATAACATTATATACTGATGAAGAGGAGAAGGAGGAAGAGGAGAAGGAGGAGGAAGAGGAGTAGGAGGAGAAGGAGGAAGAGGAGGAGGAGGAACAGGAGGGGGAGGAAGAGGAGGAAAAGGAGGAGGAGGAAGAGGAGGGGGAGGAAGAGGAGGAGAAGGGGGAGGGGGAAGATGAGGAAGAAGAGGAGGAGGTGGTGGAGGAGGAAGAGGGGGAGGAGAAGGAGGAGGAAGAGGAGGAGGAGGAGGGGGGAAAGAGAATGAGGAGGAGGAAGAGGAGGAGGAGGAGGAGGGGGAAGAGAATGAGGAGGGGGAGGAGGTGGAGGAGGAGGAGAAGGAGGAGCAGCACCTGAGGGGATGAAGAGCGTCTGGCCCTGCTTCAGCGTGCACTTGTAGCACTTGTCGACCTGATCAGCGAAGAACATCTCCGTGTGATTGGACGAGGACCTCCAGCGCTCGAACAGAGACAGATTCGCAGACGTCGGTTTGATCAGAAAGAAGATCTTTTCTCCCTAAAAACACAGACACAGTCACACAGACACAGACACAGTCACACAGACACAGACACAGTCACACAGACACAGTCACACAGACACAGACACAGTCACACAGACACAGTCACACAGACACAGTCACACAGTCACACAGTCACAGTCACAGTCACACAGACACAGTCACAGTCACAGTCACACAGACACACAGACACAGTCACACAGTCACAGACACAGTCACACAGACACAGTCACACAGTCACAGACACAGTCACACAGACACAGTCACACAGACACAGTCACAGTCACACAGACACAGTCACACAGACACAGTCACACAGACACAGTCACACAGACACAGTCACACAGACACAGTCACACAGACACAGACACAGTCACAGTCACACAGACACAGTCACACAGACACAGTCACACAGACACACAGACACAGTCACACAGACACAGTCACACAGACACACAGACACAGTCACACAGACACAGTCACACAGACACACAGACACAGTCACACAGACACAGTCACACAGACACAGACACAGTCACACAGACACAGTCACACAGACACAGACACAGTCACACAGACACACAGACACAGACACAGGCTATATCCACACGAAGACAAAACGCTTATAATTTCAGAAACTTTTTCTGTAAACACGGAGTTAGCTCAGTAAATGTGTGCGTCCATATGAATGTATTCAATACGCCTGAAAACGCTGTGAAACTATGCCAGACCTGTTGGTGGCGCTGTGACGCAATGACGGGATCAAGCCCAAACTTCCGTGACGGGAACTGGGCATGTGCAGAATTTAGTAAACAGACAACATGGCGAGTGGGCGAGCTGGTACTACATTAGTATGGACGGACGATGAGGTTGAACTGTTGCTTCGGGTCACACTGGATTACAAAACCAACAAGCTACATTGTTGTTGTCATTATTTTCTGAGTGCGGCGCATGCGTGCTTTAACAAGAGGCGGGGCGATGACGCAAGCGTCTCAGATACATTGCGGAGAGGCAGTAACCACGGAGCGGCATATACGGAGTTTTGAAATCTTTCCACTCTGGGACCTACTTTTAAAAATGTTCGTTTACACCCCCCCAAAACGCCGGCCTCGTATGGACCATACACTGGATTGATAAAGTATTTTTGCGTTTAGGCCTGAGCTTGACTTCGTGTGGACAGGGCCACAGTCACACAGACACAGACACAGTCACACAGACACAGTCACACAGACACAGTCACACAGTCACACAGTCACACAGTCACACAGTCACAGTCACACAGACACAGTCACACAGTCACACAGTCACAGTCACACAGACACAGTCACACAGTCACACAGACACAGTCACACAGTCACACAGTCACAGTCACACAGACACAGTCACACAGTCACACAGACACAGTCACAGACACAGTCACACAGTCACAGACACAGTCACACAGTCACACAGTCACAGTCACACAGACACAGTCACACAGTCACACAGTCACAGTCACACAGACACAGTCACACAGTCACAGTCACACAGACACAGTCACACAGTCACACAGTCACACAGTCACAGTCACACAGACACAGTCACACAGACACAGTCACACAGACACAGTCACACAGACACAGTCACACAGACACAGACACAGTCACACAGACACAGTCACACAGTCACAGACACAGTCACACAGTCACAGACACAGTCACACAGTCACAGACACAGTCACACAGACACACAGTCACACAGACACAGTCACACAGTCACAGACACAGTCACAGACACAGTCACAGACACAGTCACACAGACACAGACACAGTCAGTCACACAGACACAGTCACACAGACACAGTCAGTCACACAGACACACAGTCACAGTCACACAGACACAGTCACACAGTCACACAGACACAGACACAGACACAGTCACATAGTCACACAGTCACACAGTCACAGTCACACAGTCACAGTCACACAGTCACACAGTCACAGTCACACAGACACACACAGTCACACAGACACACAGTCACACAGACACACACAGACACAGACACAGACACAGTCACAGACACAGACACAGACACAGTCACAGACACAGACACAGTCACAGTCACACAGACACACAGTCACACAGTCACACAGACACAGTCACAGACACAGTCACAGTCACACAGTCACACAGACACACACACAGACACACAGTCACACAGACACACAGTCACACAGACACAGACACAGACACAGACACAGACACACAGAGTCACAGTCACAGACACAGACACAGTCACAGACACAGTCACAGTCAGACACACAGTCACACAGTCACACAGACACACAGTCACACAGTCACAGTCACACAGACACACAGACACACAGTCACACAGACACAGACACAGACACAGTCACAGACACAGTCACAGACACAGTCACAGACACAGACACAGACACAGTCACAGTCACACACACAGTCACACAGTCACACAGACACAGTCACAGACACAGTCACACAGTCACAGTCACACAGTCACAGACACACAGTCACACAGTCACACAGACACAGTCACAGACACAGTCACAGACACAGTCACAGACACAGTCACACAGACACAGTCACAGTCACAGACACAGTCACAGACACAGACACAGACACAGACACAGTCACAGACACAGACACAGTCACAGTCACACAGACACACAGTCACACAGACACACAGTCACACAGTCACACAGACACAGTCACAGACACAGTCACAGACACAGTCACAGACACAGTCACAGACACAGTCACAGACACAGACACAGTCACAGACACAGTCACAGACACACAGTCACACAGACACACAGTCACACAGACACACAGTCACACAGACACAGTCACAGACACAGACAGAGACACAGTCACAGACACAGTCACAGACACAGACACAGACAGAGACACAGTCACACAGACACACAGTCAGACTGTCACTGTCAGACTGTACCTTGAGGACGTGGTACCAGACCGAGGCTCCTCCGCACTCGATGTGGAAGTCGGTGTAACTGTCCTTGACGCAGATCAAACAGTATTTGGACACTTTCGGTTTCCCCAGAAGAGCGTCGTCGGGCCAATAGTTCTCCACCCAGGACAGCCTCCTCACGATCTGCGGGCTCTCCACGATCGAGTTCATCCTGTCACACACACACGGGTCAGACCGGGGCCTGGACCTGGACCCGGGTCTGGGCCTGGACCCGGGCCTGGGACACAGAGACTGACCTGGTGTCGGAGAACTCCAGGTTGATGACGTCCAGGACCTTCTTCCTGTTGGTGCTGTAGTAATAATCCACAAACTCCTTCAGCTTCATTTTGCTGTCGCTCTGTTTGGTGACGTCCACTACGTCCACAGAGACGTCTGGGCCTGGACACAGCAGGAGGTCAGGGGTCAGACACAGCAGGAGGTCAGGGGTCAGACACAGCAGGAGGTCAGGGGTCAGACACAGCAGGAGGTCAGGGGTCAAACACAGCAGGAGGTCAGGGGTCAGACACAGCAGGAGGTCAGGGGTCAGACACAGCAGGAGGTCAGGGGTCAGACACAGCAGGAGGTCAGGGGTCAAACACAGCAGAAGGTCAGGGGTCAAACACAGCAGAAGGTCAGGGGTCGGACACAGCAGAAGGTCAGGGGTCGGACACAGCAGGAGGTCAGGGGTCAGACACAGCAGGAGGTCAGGGGTCAGACACAGCAGGAGGGCAGGAGGTCAGGGGTCAGACACAGCAGGAGGTCAGGGGTCAGACACAGCAGGAGGTCAGGGGTCAGACACAGCAGGAGGTCAGGGGTCAAACACAGCAGGAGGTCAGGGGTCAGACACAGCAGGAGGTCAGGGGTCAGACACAGCAGGAGGTCAGGGGTCAGACACAGCAGGAGGTCAGGGGTCAGACACAGCAGGAGGTCAGGGGTCAGACACAGCAGGAGGTCAGGGGTCAAACACAGCAGGAGGTCAGGGGTCAGACACAGCAGGAGGTCAGGGGTCAGACACAGCAGGAGGTTAGGGGTTAGAAACAGCAGGAGGTCAGGGGTCAGACACTGCGTGGCCCCTACTGCCCCCTACTGCGTCTGGGTTAACAATATATAATTTTAGTGCATTTTTATGAATAAACAACGAGCTATTTATACGCTCATAAACATAAAACCCAAAACAATCAGTTCCTGTTACTGCAACATAAATATATAACATTAATTTTATAAATGCTTGATTTTCTGATCTTTTGTCTCTCTATGTTCTACAAGTAAAAGTCTTTACTTTCTTTACTGTTATTAAGAGAGAAAAGTGTGTATCCAGGTGCTAATATATAATATTAATTTATTATAGTGATGTAATCAATCTGATGTGCATCATATTTCTGTCAGAGGTTAAACTCAGAACTAACTCTAACTAACCCTAACTAACTCTAACTAACCCTAACTGACTCTAACTAACCCTAACTAACTCTAACTCACTCTAACTAACCCTAACTAACTCTAACTCACTCTAACTCTAACTCACTCTAACTCTAACCAGGGGAACAGGCCTCACGTTAACATTGCTGCTGAACAGCGCCCTCTGGTGGAAGACCTTTACAAACAGATGTAACGTTTAAGGCCGTGGTGAGGAGACAGAGTTGTGTAGTGAGGATCAGAGTTGTGTAGTGAGGAGACAGAGTTGTGTAGTGAGGATCAGAGTTGTGTAGTGAGGGGACAGAGTTGTGTAGTGAGGAGACAGAGTTGTGTAGTGAGGGGACAGAGTTGTGTAGTGAGGAGACAGAGTTGTGTAGTGAGGAGACAGAGTTGTGTAGTGAGGGGACAGAGTTGTGTAGTGAGGGGACAGAGTTGTGTAGTGAGGGGACAGAGTTGTGTAGTTAGGAGACAGAGTTGTGTAGTTAGGAGACAGAGTTGTGTAGTGAGGGGACAGAGTTGTGTAGTAAGGAGACAGAGTTGTGTAGTGAGGGGACAGAGTTGTGTAGTTAGGAGACAGAGTTGTGTAGTGAGGGGACAGAGTTGTGTAGTTAGGAGACAGAGTTGTGTAGTAAGGAGACAGAGTTGTGAGACTGAGTTGTGTAGTGAGGGGACAGAGTTGTGTAGTAAGGAGACAGAGTTGTGTAGTGAGGGGACAGAGTTGTGTAGTAAGGAGACAGAGTTGTGAGACTGAGTTGTGTAGTAAGGAGACAGTGTTGTGTAGTGAGGAGACAGTGTTGTGTAGTGAGGAGACAGTGTTGTGTAGTGAGGAGACAGTGTTGTGTAGTGAGGAGACAGTGTTGTGTAGTGAGGACACAGTGTTGTGTAGTGAGGAGACAGTTTTGTGTAGTGAGGAGACAGTGTTGTGTAGTGAGGAGACAGTGTTGTGTAGTGAGGAGACAGTGTTGTGTAGTGAGGAGACAGTGTTGTGTAGTGAGGAGACAGTTTTGTGTAGTGAGGAGACAGTTTTGTGTAGTGAGGAGACAGTGTTGTGTAGTGAGGAGACAATGTTGTGTAGTGAGGAGACAGTGTTGTGTAGTGAGGAGACAGTGTTGTGTAGTGAGGAGACAGTTTTGTGTAGTGAGGAGACAGAGTTGTGTAGTGAGGAGACAGTGTTGTGTAGTGAGGAGACAGAGTTGTGTAGTAAGGAGACAGAGTTGTATAGTGTTGTGTAGTGAGTGTGTGAAACTACATTTGAAGTGTATCAGATTCAGGAGCTGCAGTGACGGTGTCTGTCCACTAGATGTCAGTGTTAACCACGAGTCTGCTCCGTGTGCCTGGGCTTCATCACTTTCAAAAGAATCATATTTTATTTTTCACTTCAGGGTTCTGCTCAGGGTTCTGCTCAGGGTTCTGCTCGTCAGGGTTGGGGTCAGGGTTCTGGTCAGGGTTCTGCTCAGGGTTCTGCTCAGGGTTCTGCTCAGGGTTCTGCTCAGGGTTCTGCTCAGGGTTCTGCTCAGGGTTCTGCTCAGGGTTCTGCTCAGGGTTCTGCTCAGGGTTCTGCTCAGGGTTCTGCTCAGGGTTCTGCTCAGGGTTCTGCTCAGGGTTCTGCTCAGGGTTCTGGTCAGGGTTCTGGTCAGGGTTCTGGTCAGGGTTCTGGTCAGGGTTCTGGTCAGGGTTCTGCTCAGGGTTCTGCTCAGGGTTCTGCTCAGGGTTCTGCTCAGGGTTGGGGTCAGGGTTGGGGTCAGGGTTGGGGTCAGCGTTCGGGTCAGGGTTCTGGTCAGGGTTCTGGTCCAGCCTCTCACCGACGTAGTTCTCCACGTCGCTGATGTAGAAGGTGGCGGCCGGCATGGTCAGGCCCAGGCCCTCTTTCTTCTGGACCAGGATGGGTTCATTGAAGCCATTCTCCTCCAGATAATCCATGGTCAGCTGCACTCCACTGAGCTTCACCACCACATCCTCCGCACTGAGGGAGACGTAGCGTCACACAGAGTCACACAGAGACACACAGAGTCACACAGAGACACACAGAGTCACACAGAGTCACACAGAGACACACAGAGTCACACAGAGACACACAGAGTCACACAGAGTCACACAGAGACACACAGAGACACACAGAGACACACAGAGTCACACAGAGACACACAGAGACACACAGAGTCACACAGAGACACACAGAGTCACACAGAGACACACAGAGACACACAGAGTCACACAGAGTCACACAGAGACACACAGAGACACACAGAGTCACACAGAGACACACAGAGTCACACAGAGACACACAGAGTCACACAGAGTCACACAGAGTCACACACACAAATACTGTATATATATACACATATAGAGGTATATCTGTGTATGTACAGGTGCTGTACAGGTGCTGTACAGGTGCTGTACCTGGGGAAGGTCCTGCTGCGCAGCTCTTTGATGAACACCTGACTTCCGTTCTGAACTGCTTTGATGTCGGTGCTTTGTCCCGTGTCATGTTTGTTCCAATTCTTTTTCTTTTTCACTGAAACAGAAACAAACAAACATTGGACTAAAGAATGACATCATGAAGAAAAGAATGACATCATGAAGAAAAGAATGACATCATGAAGAAAAGAATGACATCATGAAGAAAAGAATGACATCATGAAGAAAAGAATGACATCATGAAGAAAAGAATGACATCATGAAGAAAAGAATGACATCATGAAGAAAAGAATGACATCATAAAGAAAAGAAAGACATCATAAAGAAAAGAATGACATCATGAAGAAAAGAATGACATCATAAAGAAAAGAATGACATCATGAAGAAAAGCTGCTGTCACTCAGACTCAGACGTTCAGTCGCACAGAAACACTTTAAAGAGCGACTAAACACCTGTGCCCAGCCTGACTCCGCCCACATGAACATTTGAAAAATGTCTCTTAAAAGTGCGTTGCCCGAGGACCAAGGGACAAGAAGGAGGGCTGAGAGGTGGGCGTGGTCTGGGGTGTGATTGACAGCTCATGTCAAACACAAAAAAACAGACAGTTGTCATTGCTGCTCACACCAGAAAGTCTCATTCCTTCGTTTACACACTAAGATAATTGTAGAGCTACACACCAGAACCTAAGACACAGAATTATCTCAGCAGCAGTGGTTTCAACTCATGTAATTACGTTTTAAACCACTAGATGTCGCCAGAATACTCCAACCTGCTGCTGGGGTGTGTGTGAGACTTTGATGCTTTTATACCACTGGCTGAGACTGACGTCACACAGTCCTCTAGAGCCAATGGAAAGACCAGGACCAAAATTCTAATGTAGTACCACCAAAAAGGTAGAGAGGGCGCCACAAAGACGGCTTTAGGCTCAAAAGTGAGATTTTATCTAATTTGCACAAAAAAGTCAAAACAATGACCAGGACATGAGCACAATAAGAAACATATTTATGCATGGTGTTTAGTTGTCCTTTAAATATGTCACTTGTCGCAGGTACTATGGGAGTGTTTCCATGGTACAGCACCACCTGGTGGTCATTCTAACCTGTAGACACCTGGTGCAGTAGTGTTAGCTTGGCATCAGGTTAGCTCAGCATCAGGTTAGCTTAGCATCACGTGTGCTTAATGTCATGTTAGCTCAGCATCAGGCTATCGTAGCATCATGTTAGTTCAGCATCAGGTTAGCTTAGCACCAGGTTAGCTTAGCATCATGTTAGCTTAGTGTAACAC